CATGACAGACCTGCAGAAGGGAAGATGAAGCAAATGGGTTTCAAAGGAGTCTCTTGCTCAGATAACAGCCCAAACCCAAAGGAAATATAAAGAGTGTAGACATTGACTAATAAAAATCAGAAAACAGTCTTTGCAATAATAACAGGAAGCTTGTGAGTGAAGTAGTAGAATTTGCCACTGAAAGTTGCTTTAAAAAATAATGGTCTAGGCCTGGCCTGGTGGTGCAGCAGTTAAGTTCACACACTCCTGCTTTAGTGGCCCAGCATTCACTGGTTCAGATCCCGGGTGTGAACCCATGCACCGCTTATCAAACCATACTGTGGCAGTGTCCCACATATAAAATAGAGGAAGATGGGCACAGATGTTAGCTCAGGGCCAATCTTCCTCAGCAAAAAAAGGAAGATTGGTGGCAGATGTTTGCTCAGGGTTAGTCTTCCTCAAAAAAAAAACAAAAAAAAACAAGCAGGTGGCATCCAAGACAAATAACACCCTCATGTGGAGGGCCTAAGGTCTAGCAGGAAGGAGGAGACACATGGCCGGCAAATTCTGTTAGATAACACAGCTGCAATTTCAACACCACGAGAATCTGTTCACATTTAAAACTCAGGAATATCCAACGTTTTGCTAAAAAGTCTATAACTGGAAAGCTGCCATTTTCCTACCTTCTTGCAAAAAACATCACTGGGGAAAAATGAAAGCAGGAGAAGCAAAATTCTCCATTATCACAACAGGATAACTTCTGCTGGAAACCCAAAGGCCAAATCTCTGACCACCTCAAAGAATTCCATGAAGTTAAATAAAGCACGTTTTCCCGAGGTGCGGAGTTGAGTTCCCCTGGGTTCAGAATGGGATCCTAAAAAGAACTTCTCAGGCTGGTATTTAGTTTCTCAGCCTCCTGAATCCCTTTACTCTCTACTGAGGGGTGTATGGTCAGACGTGAGGAGCTTTGGACCGGGAATTGAGACTGGAGCCTCAGTTTTGTCTTGCCACAAATTTAATAACCTCTTTGGGTCTCTTCCTGAGTGATAAAATAGGACCCACTTCCCAAGATTATTAACTGTCAAATGAGATAAATCAGTTGAAACTGCAAGGATTTGGTTTGGTAAAGGTGATATTTTTATACAGATAAACATGAGCCCCGGATGGTTCTCAAGGTGTCCCAGAGAAGAGAAGAATAACAAAGCTCAGTAATATTCATCTGCCACATTCTTTGCATTGAAGGGATGGAGGCTGGTGGAAATTTTGTGGGCTGAAACTCAATCCAATAGTCAGAAACAAATGTATGAAGTTTGGAGATGTGTGTGTTTCCTTGTAACATCAATAGAACAAACCGCTTACATTTACACACACAAATACATCAACATTACATAGGATGGACCTTGCCTGCAGCATCAGACCCAACATAAAAGCCATCACTTTCCCTTTCATACTGGGAGCAGCTGCTGTTAGAAATATGGTGGACAGGAATCTACACCTGCATTACTCTCTCCCAAGGCGACTGGCTAATTCTAGTCCAACACCGCAAAATGGGAAGCAAAGAGTGGAGAACTTACTGGAAAAATGGTTGAGGGGTAGAAAAATGAGTTTCTGGTAACCCGATGCTTAACATCTATTTTTCCAGGGAAACAATGCTATGAGTAGAGGTTCTGTAGAGGTGAAACAAAGTAACTGCCGTTTCAACATATTATCAGCTAAATTGACTTTCTGTGCTTGAATGTAGGCTCAATTTGTAATGTTGCCTCTATAAGGAAATGTATTCTGAGCTGTAACAACCAATTTATATATGAACTTCAGCAACACGACTCATTTGTAGTTAAAATTGCAGTAATTGTTTTCTTTTACTGCAACAAAAGTGGATGGTTCGTTTGCAAGATCAGTAATTGAACGATATCTACAAATCTATTAAACTCATTTGCAAAATAAGCATTAGTGGTATTGAGAATGGTGAGAATTTTGTAGGGCAGAACTTAATCTGAAATTAATGTGTTGCATTGGATGAACAGATTTATCTAACAATTTTAAGCTGCGATATTTTAATTATGTGTAATTATCTGTATACAGAATAGACATTTTATTGAGTGCAAAATCACACACATGGTTAAATGTTAACTAATTAATTTAATCATCATGACAACTTCAAGAGGTATTGTTATTAGTCATGCACTGCATAATGATGTTTAGTCAACAACTGACCGCATATATGATGCAGGTCCCATAAGATTAGCACCATATAGCCTAGGTATGTAGTAGGCTATGCCATCTAGGTTTGTGTAAGTGCACTCTGTGTTCACACAACAAGAAAATCACCTAACAATGCATTTCTCAGAATGTATCCCTGTCGCTAAGTGACACATGACTGTATTATTATTATAGTCAACTTTACCAGAGGAAATTGAGGCATAGTGAATTAAGCAATTTGCCCAAGGTTACATGGGGAACCAAGGTATTCTGACCCCTCACTTTCATTTTTAACATCTACTTTTATACTAAACTTTTGCATTCAAAGACTTACAAATTTTTAGATTTTCCAAGGTTTTCCAAAACAGACTCTTTAAAAGGATTTAAGTAAATAATGCTTAGACATTAAGTTAGTAGCTACAATTTTTAGAACTCGAAATTTACAGCTAGTCTCGTTTTTTTTTTTGAAAATTCAGTACAAGGTAACACAAGTCAGCGGCCATCATCCTAGATTAAGGATGTCTCCACTGCAAAGAGAAAGTAGAAAAGCTGCTTCTATCACCTGAATATTTGTACTATCCGAATTATTCTGGAAGAGCCTGCCCCTAGAGAGACGCAAGACAAACAAGACAGTGGGCTCTGTATTCACAAAACTGACGTTAAAATACTTCAACTTTCTCAGTCTATTGCATCTTTTCTCCAATGAGGATAATCTCCATTTTGCAAGGTTGTTGTGAGGCACATTATCATTATTATTAACAAGGTCTCCTCAGATGTATGATTCAGAAGTCCTGCCTGTGTCTCTTACTTAATCTCAGCCTATGAAATGGAGATCTTAAAGTCTACCTCACAAAGGTGTAAGGTTTGAGCAAACATTTGAAAATACTTTGTAAAATGTATATAACCTTCCACAGTGTTTTAGGTGTCGAGCCATAGCTCAGGTGAGGGGTGGCATTAGATACACAACTCTACCTGGAGAGAGGATGCTAGCTTTAGGTCCCAGGCCTTCTAATTAGAATGGCCTGGTTCTTCTGATGCAATCAAAGTTCTGCTCTCTCTAGGCAGTGAACCTAATTTAAAGTCCCTTCCTCTACAAGGGAAGGCAGCTGATACTAATAGAAGTGGGAGGGAGGGCATAGCTCAACTAGCCTCAACTACCAATTCCAGGTACTTCGTGTCCTCCTGAAGACATAATTATAAACCCTTTCTCAACCGTGAAACAGAACTATGACACGGATGCCATTGACTAGTTCAACTTTTAACTGCGGTGTAATAAACCTATCATTTCAAAAATTGATCATAGTCTATATCTCTTTTAAATTACTTTCAAGACCTACTGCCATAGCCTGAGTGACTTTGAAAGAACTAACTTGGAAATTCTAAGGTCAATGTTCTGAGCCACTCTAAGAGTAGTTAGAAGTGTTACGGACTCCAGCCAGCTGGGAAGTGGAACAGGTCTCCCCTCCTAGATGAGGGGCCCCTGGGAGGAGGTATCCTGTCTTCTTTTAAGGTTCAAACAAATTGGTGATTGGAGTTAAGTGAGAAAAACCACAAATAAATCTCAAAGGAGGGGAGAGTATGTGCAGGGGTGGGGGGTGATCTTAGGAAATCAGGCTATGTTTCGATGTTGGTTTTTATCCCCTTCTTATTGAGGACGCAGTCCCTTTGGATTCTTGATAACTCCCAAAACACAAAGGGGCCATCTCTGTTTCTAAAGAATCTTCAAGTGGAAAGAATTGTCTACCAAGCCTCTCATTGTACAGATGAGAATCCGATTCTTAGCTGTCTGGACTTGGTCTATTTCTCCATATAATTTGTCAACTGAGACCTTCTTCGTGACTCAACTGGTTTCTCACGTACTTCAGAGTTGGAACTGTAGCTTATTTACTTATCCTATATGCAGCTCAGCTGATAGTATAAGAAATATTGTTAGCTCAGGGAAAAGAATATGTAATATGTTGTGACTGTGAACAATTCTCCACAATTATGAAAATAGAAGGCATGCCACGTATTCCCTGTAACAAGGAGCAGCAGCTACAATCCCCCTAGGAAAAGATGAAGAGCTTTCAAGGACCCACGGAACTATCCAGCCAGACCTACTGAGTGGAATCTTCCAACCACTAGAGCCAGCCAATGATGCTGATGGCCTGATCCCAGCGATGTCTACTCCGGGCCATGCCCTTGAGCACATGGCAACCTTGGGATGATTTATGATAAGGACATTGCCCCAGACCACAACCCCCAGCAACTGGAGAAACAGAAGGAAGAAACAAGAGCCAGGATATCACTTTCAGTAGATGAATACTAAATAGCTTAATATTATTGAAGTATTACTGAACAATAGAACCACCTTGCAAAGGACAATTTTAAAATATAATGAGAGTATTTGTCAAGGTTTATACAGCAATCTGAACGGAAAGCCAAGAACAAATTATCTTTTACTAGCTGATGTCCTGCAAAACTTTTCTACCCTGATTCAAGGACACAAGGACTTGTTCCAAAGTTTTTTAGATTTGATATGGCTCATAATGCCTGCATATTTTCGAAACCCGACATTCATAAATGAGCTGGAAAATACCATGTACTTATATGCTTGCTGTGTGTGATCTAATGGGTACACACAATGTGCCAGGCAGTAGCTGGACATATAGTCCTATATAATCTTCATGACCCGTATTCCAAATCATGTCTTTTAATTTAACTGAATATGTTCACTAAATATACTAGTATCACTTGTTAAAACATTTTTACTTTTATAAGAGGTTGTTGAAATTAGCAAGAAATGGTACCAATGTTCACGATGCATTTATATTTAAGACTCATTTTTAGAGAAAACAAAGGAAACTTTTTTATTAGAAAAACATGCTATATTTTAATAAGGATCACCATTTCTGAGAATGCGTACCAAATTAGTCTTAAAAGGAAACAGCACAATGACAGAAAACTTGATATACTACACCTTCAAGGAGCCTGTAACCGGGCTAATTGAAAATAAACACACAACTCCCACCACCACACACAAATATGTACAGGTTTTATAAGCAAAGATTGAGAAGACGCATTGGAAGAGAAGGATGAATACACCCATATATGCATGTGTGTGCAGTCTTCCGTAAACACACGCAACATAGTTTTCCTTCATTTTACTCAGCTCAAAGAAAGTCTTGATCTAAAACGATTTCATGCCTAACACTCTACGTAGGAAAATCATAAAGCAAAAGTTTACATTTTCCTGGGAGCTGTGAACTGGAAGTATCAATGTGTTTTTCATTTTTTTAGTGTAAAATCCACATACAAACAGAAGTTCTTTGTCATTTAAGTGTAACATTACCAAAAAGCTTTTCACAGTGCTATTTACATCACAGAAGAGGAATATCGATGATGAATAGGTGATTAGTGCTTCCAAACTTTTCTAACACTTATACATGGGAGATCTAAAGAGTACAACATACTTCTAAGGAATCTTTTTCTTCCCACTGATAATATGCCCCCTGACTGCTTTCTATTCAACTCCTGCCACCTTCCAGGGGTCCTGACACACAAAGTCTCTTCTACTGGACCCTACAGTTCTCGCCGCTCTTGGACTTGGGGCCAGCTTCTGGGCTGGGGGTGAGGTGGCCTCGCTTGGCCCTCAGGCCCTCCCTGGGGCTGTCGGCCGAACTTTTCTCAGGAAGGTTACTGACCGAGAGAGACTTCGTGCTGGGTTCTCGGGAGGCAGAGCCTGAATCCGCTGGGCTTTGTTGAGCAGCCTTGACCTGCAACACAAACATCTTTGTTACAGGCTTCAATCACGTTCACATTTCTACAACATGAAAAGTAAAGCACTTATGTCACCAAAGTGTAAGTTCTTCTTCTCTCAGAGTTGTACACAGTTCCACTATTGCATCTTCACTAACAACAGGCCACGCCTAACAGAGAAGCTGGAAGGACGTCAGACACGACCTCTGACGAGTCATCTTGCAAACTTTCCTTGACACTTCTGATAGCCAGAGATTCACTCCCAAGGCCAGCATGACATTCTCAGATCAGCAGGTAAGCTCTTTGAGAGCAAAGACTATCTCCTCTTAAGCTTTGTGTCCCTAGGGCCCAGAATATGCTTGACTACCTGGCCATCGCTCAATCTATTCCTCAAAGAGAACCCCAACCAGCTTTCATGTATCCTCATTGAGCCCCTGCTGTCATTCAAATGAATAAAATCCAAATAGGAGACACCACCTTCACAGGGTGCGAGCTTTATTTGCAACATTTAAAAGACCTAGAACCTGTTACTCATAAAATGGCATTTCTAATCATTCTCCTTACATTGTTGTTTTGTTTCCATATTGGTTTTGGATTATAGCAGAAGAGCAAATCCCCTTTCTGATGTCCTGCCTTTTAAAAAGAAGAGGGATCTCAGAAAATGTGAGGCTTTAAGGAGCAGCAGAGAGGGCCACATAGCTGGCAGAGTCAAGATTTTTGAGGTTTACATAGTAGTGAAAGAAGATAGGGGGTCAGGAAAGAGAAAGAGCAGCAAGAGAGATGACACACAAAAAAGCTTCCCTTAATCAAAGTTAAAGGCAAGAGTGGAAGATTCAAGTAGGAAGATCGTCACAAGAAAAAGAGGAAGGACTCTGAACAAGGGCGAGAGGCATTCAGTGCTGATGCTGGAAAACAGCTAGGTGACAGATCACTTCCAGAGCGACTGATGGCCCGTGACCTCCTCAAACAGTAAGAAGAAAGAATGGAAATTATGTCCCCATTTATAGTCTTTCCACAGGAAGTATGTGGTTTTAAAAGGCAGCTAAATACTTTTCATTACAGAAAACACAGTAAATCTGGCCAACAGATTGGATGCCTGGAAAGCTTGCCTCCACCTCTGATTATGCGCGGGACACTTAAAAGGAGCAGCCTTGAAGGATCAGCACTTGGTGGAAAATTACTGTCCATGGAAAGTCGAAAGAAAAAAAACCCAGTTTTACTAGTACTCTTTTTAATTTTTTTAAATTAGAAAGTGATACAATAGACAGCTGTTTCCTTCAAACCCATCAGATGCAGGAGAGTCAAATCTTTAGGTTCACAATTAAAAAAAAGAGAGAGAGATCACGTTGGAAAAAGAGAATCTGAGCTAGTCAAACTCCTTGCCTTCCCCCTGCAGATTCAATTTCTCTGATACTGAATTGAGGAAATCGTAGTCTGTGATCAGGGTTTAAACTGTGGATTTGATCCTCATGTTGGTTAGTCAGCCTCAGACTTGTCCATAACTAGATGAGGTCAAATTCACCAAGTACTTAAACAATTAGGTCATATCCTAATCATCTTACTTACAAACTGTGTCTGCAGCCCGACTGGGGAGAGGGTGAGTATGCAGATGGCTCAGTGAAAAGGAACCTCATAAGACCCCAAGAAATGCTGACTGACGCTGTGGTGCCAGCCTCACTGTAGAGGATGACTACAATTTAGTGGCCAGTCCTCTGGCCCTGAGCGCCCATCCCACGTTCAGATCAAGCCTACACACAATCACCGACTCCCTTGTCGCCAGCAAACTAGGAGCTCCTGGGCTTATTCATCCCAGAGAGATAACAGAGAATGCTCCTCACCACTCGGCATTTTACCCGTTTTCCCCTTTGAACTTGTCAGATGTCACCAAAGGTCCTGCTAAACGACCTAGGCAATCACGTCTCTCAAAACTCAGCCAGTCACTTAAGGAGAGGGCTCATAATCCTGAGTTTCTAAGCATCTGCTTTAGGAAATGACATCCTGCTCTATATTTTTCAAACTAAATGATGAATTATACCTAACAGATGAGGCAATCATTTATAAGGCAACTCAGAAAATGCTGAATTAAATTAAAACTCAATAGGCTAGGTTTCGAAGAGTTTGCATCTAATCGTGAAGTCTCCTATAAGCTGCTCTGAAGAGGATCCCCCTTCCACCCATTCGTACAAGTGCACAAAATTGCTTAGCAATTCATAGCCGCTGGTGCCTACTGCAGCTGGTAGCTAATGCACTGGACACAAATCTGCAGGAAACCATGGTTACTACTCCACACACATCAGATTCAACAGCAGCGTGGAGAGCGGGCCCCCTAGTGTGCAAAGCTCTTTTCTCAGATATTAAGTCTGAACTCCACATGCAAACTGCTTTTACCATCAATTCCTCATAAAAAGAGAAAAAAATGACCCATAGGGTGATTTCATAAGATGCTTTCCTGACATACCTTTAAACATCTATTATTGCAGTCATGTCAGGACAACATTAACAGCTCCACTCATTCAACAAATATCTGTTGAACGTCAACACTGTGCTAGACATGAGGACACAGGTAAACCACAAACATGATCAGGAACCTCACAGAACTCATAATGGAACTCAGAAGGCTGCTATTGAAGCAAGTCATTACAACAAAATGAGCCACCGCGAAACGGTGGAAGTACAGGGTACTGCCTATTTGTCGTGATTTTCTGTTTTAAGAGAGCCGGACACACTCATAAGTAGAAGATAAAAACAGCAACAAACAAACACATAGCAATGGAGATTGGATTGGTGGTTACCACAGGGGAAGGGGGGGAGGGCAAAAGGGGTGACTAGGCTCACATGTGAGCAGATGGACTATAATTAGTTTTTGGGTGATGAATATGATGTAATCTACACAAAATTCGAAATATATTACGGTGTACATCTGAAAGCTATATATTGTTATAATCCAAAGTTACTGCAATTAAAAAAAGAATTAAAAATTGAAAAAAAAAAAGAGAGAGAGAGAGAGAAAGAAAGAAAGAAAGAAAGAAAGAAAGAAAGAAAGAAAGAAAGAAAAGAAAGAAAAAGAGGTGGGGGGCAGGGAGAGGATTTGCACAAAATGGTAGAATATTTCCAACACAAGTAATGGATGGGCCCACCCCTTTTTTTTTTTTTTTGCAGGGAAAGATTCACCCAGAGCTAACATCTGTTGTCAACCTTCCTCTTTTTTTTTCTTCTCCCCAAAACCCCAGTGCATGGTTGTATATTCTAGTTATAAGTCCCTTTAGTTCTATGCGAGCTGCCGCCACAGCATGGCAACTGACAGACGGGTGGTGTGATTCCACGACCGGGGAACAAACCTGGGCCACAGAAGCAGTTGAGAGTGCCAAAGCTTATCCACTAGGCCATGAAGGCTGGCTCAGGATGGGCCCATTTTAACGAAGGAAAGAAAATCTCAGACCATTCATCCTCACCCCTGAATTTAAAAAATTTTTATTATAAGTTACGAACAAACTTAATACTAAGTATAAATTCCTCAACACTTAAGGCTCTTACACATCAACGTACCAAACAAATTTGCACATATAGTCTTGTTTTGATGCAACTAACCACCAACGTCTTTGTATTTTGGCATCCACAGTCCTAATGAGAAGGCACGCCTGTTCACTTAAGAATTATCATATCACCAAATAGGAGTTAGTACACTGTCAAAGCTTTGCTTGCTGGTTCGAGGTAACCAGATTGCACACTTAATCAAACTGACAAGTAAGCAGAGGAAAATCGCAAAAGTTTTAAAATTCTTGACACTATTCCAGCAACTTCCAACAATATTCCTGTACCACTAGTTTGAGAAACACTGGGGGAGCAAAACTATAGTCAAGAGAAGCTAGGTGTTAACTCTGGGCAGGTTAAATCTTTATGAGTCTTACTTTCTTCATCCTTTTCTAAGACTACTTACTGCGAGAGTTCAGTAAAATGAGAAAATAAAACTTGAGAATTCAATAAAATGCACATACTTCGCATACATAAATGGTAGCTGCTATGGATTATAGTAATGGAACAAAGACCTGTTAAGCAAATATTCTCTGCTTTAAATAACGTTTCCTGGGCTGTTTGCAAGGTACAGAAATCACTAAGGTCAGAGCTCTACCCTCAACAATCAAGAGAAATCCATATGGGGCCGGCCTGGTGGCTCAGCAGTTAAGTGCACATTCCGCTTCGGCGGCCCAGGGTTCGCCGGTTCGGATCCCAGGTGCGGACATGGCACCGCTTGTCAAGCCATGCTGTGGTAGGCATCCCACATATAAAAAGTAGAGGAAGACAGGCACAGATGTTAGCTCAGGGCCAGTCTTCCTCAGCAAAAAGAAGAGGATTGGCAGCAAATGTTAGCTCAGGGCTAATCTTACTCAAAATAAATAAATAGAAATCCATAAACAGAGTTCCTTTCTTTAGAAATCTACTGAAGTATTTGCTTTTTGTAGTAAGTAAAGCAGTAAGAAAAAACAAAGAATCGGCAGCTGGGGGGCAGATAGGTGAGAGGAAAAAAAAGATGAAGCAAGCAATGTCCAATGCCTGTGCCCAAAGAGCAACAACCTCTTCAAATCCTCCAGCGGTAATGCTTGAAGCTGTCTTACAAATCCTGTGAGCTCTGATCTGTCAATGTCATTTCCCAATAGACTATTTATAAGCGGCCTGCTAGGTCAAGGATGAGACTGTGGGCAGGCAGGATAATGTGATGCTCATCCTCAGGTCTGCCTACCACTCCCCTCAACACTGACCTATTTATACCGCATCCAGAAGGTCAGACTTTAAAGAGCTCCCGAGTCAGAGGGTGCAGCGTCAAATCCTCGTCCAGATAACGCTGTAACTCTCTGGATTTCAAACGGGAGGGACACGCACACAGAAGCTTACCTTTTGTGATCTGCTGCCACCAGCTGTTGGCTTGGAGGTCTCAGCATGATTTTCTTTGTCGAGACTCAGGGGGGACGGTGCTAACTTCTGCGCGGCAAGGCGGGGGCTGGTCCTAGTGGCCATGGTTGTCCTCCGCAGGACGTACGGACTTGTCTTTCCTGTAGGGATATCAGCAAACCCTAAGGACAAAAAAGGCTGACTGTCAACACTGCTGGGTGCAATTCTATCTACAGTGGAAATGACGGTCATCAGGTAAAGTTTTTACGAAGATAAGGGTAATGCCAAAAACACTTTCTCCTGGCCACAGTGGACAATAGATTAACTTCATCGCTACCCTGGGAGTCATCAAATTGAATAAATAACTAGCAGGTTTTCTCTTATTAGAAACATAAGAAACCACAACGGGAAAATAATATTAAACAGGAAATTTTTTCCTGCTTCTTCCACGTGGATGTCTTAACTCACATTTTCCTAAGATCTGAAGAACACACCAGCAGGCCTTACTGTAAAATTTGCATTTGAGAAAGTCAGAGGATAAAATAGAAAGGAAAAACAAAAAAGAAAGGCCAGCTTTTGTTTAAGGGGGGCTAATGTGCAATGGTTACAGCTACTTCGGGTGATGGCTCTTGTGTAGAGAGTAGGTGGGAGGAGAGACTTGACCTTGTGCTACGGGTCACCTCACTCTCTGCGTACATCGTCTCCTTCCACTGAGGGACCGGACAGGACTTGTGAGGACCATGAGAAAGTCAATCTGAAGGACACTCAAGACAGCATATCACACACACTCCAGAGCAGCATAAATGGCTAACTAAAGCAGCATTTCTTTCTGTTTTATTTTTAACCCTATAACTACAAATAAAAAACAGTGATGAGAAAGACAGCTAATTATTTTTGAGCCAGATTTCCTAAAGGCTAGAGTTACTCAGAACAGTGCTTCTCAAACCTTCTATGGCAAAGAACCAGCTTTGATCTTTTAGAAGGGGAGGGGTGGGGCCTAATTCCCAGTCTGCTGTGGAATGATACTTTTGTCTAAGACAATAAGCATGAATCAATAGAAAAATGATTATGCGCTTGGATGTCGAAACAATGCCAAATTGCTTTGAAAATTTTAAACTCTTACTCTTGATTTCTGCACATTGTTTTTTGTCACGGACAAGGAACAAACGGTTCCTAGACAGGCTCCAGTCCCTGGGCCACACTTGGAGGACCACTTGGTTAAAAAAAAAAAGTGGTAAGTGGCTCCAGTCAGGGGACCAGCATCATCAGATCCATCCTCCAGCTCACCTACTACCTGGGTGCGACACAACCAAAGGGAGAAAAGCTTGAAGGGTGTCTTTCATTCAGGATTTTTCAGCACAGAAATATCAAATTCTAAACAGGTTTTTACCAGTCCTTTTCAAATCTACCAGCCCCTTTTGTAGTGTGACAAGAGTAATTAGATCCTAGTCATTCTCTCATGACAGAAAGGAAAATATATAACCCTATCAATTTAAAAGTGGACTATCGCTTCTGAAGATCAATTCGTACTGTTGCACAATAACCTAAAAAATAAATGCTTGTCTTTTTTGTATGCGAATTTTTATGTGGAGTTTCAAAAGAAGACACATAATTTTGTTTCTAAATTATACGTACCTTTCTTTACAACTTCTGGGAGGCCCTCTGGCTCAAACTCAGCATATTCTGCATCCTCTGCAGGGTGAATGCCACTTTTGACCGCTTTCCTACTTTTCTTAGAAAATGTCTCTGGTGTAGAAGGCGTCGTTCCTTCTCCATTCTCCCGAATCCCACTAGACCTCTGTCTTTTTCCTGAAGCTTTATTTTGGCCGGACGGTAACTTCTTTTCAGTAACAGAAGGGGCCGGAGATGATCCTGGAACAACTGAATTCAGCAAAGGAGAACTTGGGAGATTGAGTTTGGATTGTTGTGAACTCAGACGAGCAACTTGTGTTTCTAACATTTCTTTGTCTTTTTCCAGCTTCTCATGGCTTATAAGTAGGGAACAGTACTTTTCCAAGTATTCATCAGCCTCCTTGTTCTTTTCTTCAAGAGTTTCTTTCAGTTCTTTCATCTCGGTCATTAATTCATCTACATTAGCATCCACAACAGTACCTGTCATAAATAAAGTGACATATCAAGTCTAACTTGACACTTCTCTAGTTAACCCTGGGCGTCACAAGGCAGGTAACCTTAGATTTGCTCTTTGATTTTTTTTGGAGGAGTGGGGGAGATACAGCTGTGTACGTTCTTATAGTTCAAAAAGCTCTTGTTTGGGAGGGATCATACCAAGGTCCATATCCTAGTAAGTTACATCTTTATTGGGATAGCCTAAATAAAATCCACCAAAATCTCAAACTCATACTTCAGCCAATCCATCAGACTTTCTTAGAGTGATCATATGAGATCAAATGAATCAATTTATCACATCCTCTATTTTTGCCCTGTCCATTCTTTCCATTGTAAGTGAATGAACAAAAAAGTCAGTAGAGAATATAAAGTCTCTGTTGTTATGGCTTTGGGAGACAGGCAGGGGCCAGTGACAAAGTAAGTCCAAAAAAGCTTTGAAAACCATTTGAAAGCAATGGAGGAGCTGATGAACAAGAGCTTGAGGGATACTGCAAAGGTGGATGTCTTAGTCAACTTGTAGTGCCGTAGTTGGCATTAAATCCACTGGACAACCTCCCTGGAGCTCCAGTCTACTCTCAGGACTCTTTTCAGCAGGGAAGATTATTGACCCACTCTGCAAAGCTATGGTCCAGAAGAGCCACGCCTACTACACTTGCCATAATCTAGCCACACAGTAAGAGCATTCCGCTCTGGGGGCATAAGGAGAGAAAAGTGACAAGGAGACTTGTCATTTCTTTTCTATTTTTATTTTACCTCCACTCCCAAAAAATAGGCCCCCAACCCTTCTATTTCGTTGACCCACTCGGATGAGCCAAGGACAACCAGAATCAGCTGTTTATAAATTATCAATGCCAGCTCAGATACCAGTCTGCCTTTGATGGAAGAACTACGTAAATGGACATCCACATGAAAACCTCTTCTTGGAACAGCTCATTAGCAATAAGTGCTGCCAGTTTTTTGTATGTTTTATAGAACAGAAGATGCGATCATTCTATTTCAAACTATAGGCTTCATTCAGAATCCTGTTAATGACTGCACGCTGAGCACAAACATCAGAAATTGAAAAATGGATAACTGCTAAAAATGAGCACGCAGTAACAGAACAGAGCACTGAAAACACCTCCTAGGCAGACACCATCTGTGTGTGATGTCACTAGCGGGAAAGGGGTCTGGCTCGCTGACGGGCCCAGTTCACACTCACCTGTTTTTTGTTTCTCTTGTGCAGCTTCAAGGCGAGATAGCTCTTTCTGCAACATTTCCTTTTCCGCTTCCAGCTGTTTACAGGATTTGATCAGCAACTTTATTTTCCCCTGGGCTCGTTCATTTTCCTTCTTCAACTGATTTGCATGTTTCAGATTGTCCATCTACAAAACAAAAGTAATTCCACCTAAAACCTTGAATTGCTTTTTATGAGCATATGGAAAAATTAATTAGGAGATATAACTAAGAATCATATATTATAAACTTAAGAATTATTATGTCCAAAAGAAAATATTCGAAGATGCATAAAACAATTCACTTTCTCTACTCTAGAAAGGTCTCCCCAAAGACACTGGTTTTGTTACTCCCTTTCTTAGTATTGACAAGCATAAATCATGATTCCTAAGATAATATCCTATTATGCGTAGCCCACTATGTATGTGTTTACCCAGTGGGAATCACACATTGGGGGTGGGGGTAGAAGTCCATGAACATATTGTTGGGGGGTCAAACATTTTCAGGGGCCAGCCCCACGGCCGAGTGGTTAAGTTCATGCGCTCTACTTTGGTGGCCCAGGGTTTTGCCAGTTGGGTCCTAGGCATGGACTTAGCACCACTCATCAAGCCATGATGAGGTGGCATCCCACATAGCAGAGCCAGAAGGACCCACAACTAGAATACACAACTATGCACTGGGGGGCTGTGGGGAGAAGAAAAAAAAAGAAAATTGGCAACAGATGTTAGCTTAGGTGCCAATCTTTAAAAAAGAAAGAATCTGCAGTGAGACAACTGTGTTCCCATTTGTAATCCTGTGCTATCGCACAATTTCAATACCTAAGATGGCATTTGTTTTAGTCACACCAAGTGAAGACTAAATTATCACTCACGACACAAATTCAAATTTTATAGTAGCTTAAATAGAAAGGAATAGAACGGTTGGAAATTGTGTCACCACACACTTCTCAGTAGGACAAGTTCACAGTTCTTTACAACTGCAAAACCCAAAAAAAGCTCTGTAAAGGATTTAGAAGCAAAACTTGACCTGAACAGATATGAAGGTATTTATCGTCTATTTATCCCACCTTGTGAGAATATGCATACATTTTGCTGCAGAAATATGAATTTGAGTATGAAGTATTACCCCAGACCCTGCTGGGATATTGTGTATACTATGTAATATCTAAAAAATGCAGAATTCTAAAACAATCTAGCTCTAGGAGTATCTGATAAGAGATCATGAACATACAAAGGCGGACCACACTATTTAAAATAAAGAAGAACCTGAGCATCACAGTCATGTTGCAAGTAGATTTCATTCTTCGCATATTTCATCTTGAAACAATTTATTAGCAAGGTTGTGGCAAATCTGCACTTTTGGAATTTTCTACTTCTGATTCCAACCATAACTGGATTGGAGATCCATTTAATTCAATTTCAACAATGCTTATCAACTGGTACCTCACTAAAATTATATGAGATCTGAATAGACAGCTAATAAGCAATGTACCATTTTGTACACAGTATGTATATAAATAGACATTCCCCACAGGAGAACTGTCAAAGATTAAAAAAGCAGAAAGTGAGTAAATAAAAAAGTAGACCTCAAGCTACTTCTTTCTATTATTAAACCTAGTATCTCTCATCTCTCATTTGTAGCAGCAGAACATTACTGATCACGGAATTTTATTAGTTTATATTTTATTGGTATAGTTCCTTCAGCTTGATAATAGTTGTGTAAGAGCTATAAACATAAGAAGCTTATACCTAGAGTTTTCTGTTTCAATATATTCAATATACAATTAATACCATAATTTTAAAAATTTAAGTCACCCTATAAATGAAGACCTTTACTGAAAGATATTTATTTTCCAGGATCATTATTATGCATTCTGGATGGTATTCACTTTATGGAAAATACCTGTAGGAATGAAAACAGCATCTCTTTCCAAGCAGAATTACTGTAGCACCATCTACAGTCTAACAATCCTGAGCCCAGGGTTCAACCTCCTTTTTATCTAAAGAAAAAAGTTTTACGATGCTTGTCTGGAGAGGAAGAGAAGAATGTATACATCCGTGTGCCTGATCAAATACTTTGCCACACTTTGATCTCCCCAAAAGCCCCAGGAAAGTAGGTTTGGTGACAGCAGTGAATTTGAGGATGAATCAAGCAAGACTTTGGAATTACCCACCAAATTATTATCTACAGCTGGAGGGGCCTGCCCTAATCTGTTATTGGCTCAATCTTCATATCCATCTTGAAAAGTCTTTAACATTCTCTAGTTTGAGGGGATTCGCTGAGCAATGGAAAGTTTATTCCAGCTTTGAGACAGCAGGCCATCCACTGATTTTTTAAAATAACTCAACAGAGAATTGATATACGATATTATTTTTGACTACAAAAAAATGTTGATAAAAATTAAAATGAAAGCGCTTAATTCTATACCATTAAAACCACTATTATCTATAGGAACATGAGAAGTCATGAAGCAAGAAGTGAACATACCTTGGCTTTCTTCAATTCTTCTAAAATCTCAGTGGTAGCTTTCAAAGAATTACTGAGTTCTTCTTTACTAGACTTTAAGAGGTCCATCTCTGCTTTCTGGGAGCTGAGGCATTCTTCTTTAGAAGTCAATTTCTCTTGATATGTTTGGATTTCCATTTCATACTAGGGCAGAAAAAAGTTAATTTAGCCAGGAGGCTCAGCTAAAAAAATTGTAGGAGGAACCGGCCCAGTGGTGCAGTGGTTAAGTTCACACACTCCACTTCGGCGGCCTGCGGTTCGCTGGTTCGGATCCTGGGTGCAGACATGGCACTGCTTGGCACGCCATGCTGTGGCAGCCGGCCCGCATATAAAGTAGAGGAAGATGGGCATGGATGTTAGCTCAGGGCCAGCCTTCCTCAGCAAAAAGAGGAGGATTGGCAGATGTTAGCTCAGGATTAATCTTCCTCAAAAACAAACAAAAAAAATTGTAGGAAAAACAAAAAACTGCTGTTCCAAGGACCATTTCAAATAGTCTTTGAGACTCTCCTACTATTCTGCTCCAAGATGGAAATGTAGTTTTAAAAATCAAGTCATAAAATAAGATATATGCAAGTAACTGGGGGAAAGATAGTGAAGTTAATACAATGGGATCCTTTGTAAGATTATACAGCATAATAATAATGCAGAACATTGACCTTCTTGTAAAAAATGCCTCATTACCATGGTCAAAACATCCTCTCCAGCTCCCCCAGTAACCAAGCCCACGTTGTTACCTGTTTGTTTGTATCCAGAAGCAAAGCCTGGTGTTTCTTTTCAGCATCCTGGAGCCGTAGGTGATATCCAGCTATTTCTTCTCTCATCTTCTCGTGCTTTTCCATCTGGTCTTTGTGTGCGCAATCCAAACTCTTCTTCAATTCACTGTTTTCTAGCATGAGCTCCTTCAATTGACCCTAATGAGAAAAGAAGTGAAATCACAGGAAAATAATTAAGAACTTGCATATCTATCTCCAGGAAATACTGAGTACTGAGGGGGAAAAGATAGTTTACAGGCAAGACAAAACCCATATAGAAAAGTGCTATAATCCGTAGCGATGTATTCACTTTAAATTGCGCCTTCATCTCCAGTGACAATTTCCTCTGCTCCAGCCCAACCTCCAAAGTCACATCCACAGGGACCACAGAATCTCGGAAACCTCAGACTGAACAGAACCCCTCTGGGACCACACCTTCCTAGGCTTCCAGGCTCACTTACTTAAGTACTTGCATTGCAATAATTCCTTGACATCATCAACAGCAGCACCACCACCACCCTTCACATTCAAGCCCCTCAGACTGATGTTCTTTTCCTTGACCAGCTTAGAGTCCACGTTCTATCTCTATAAGAATTTTCTTCCAAATGCCCCCAACTCTTTTGCCCCTCTCTCCCTTCACTGTGCAGGACTGGCAAAACTGCAGCCCTGGAGGCATCTGTCTTCGCTATGCCTGATCCCAAATAGCTGCTTCCATATGTTTATATATATGCTGAGTCCTCTTCATCTCCCATTCACTTTTCAACCCACTTCAACCTGGTTTCATCCCAAACTCCTCCTGAAGCAGCTTTTCGTGGCGCCACCAGCCTCCACGTGCACGTCTGAAGAGCTCTTCAGTCCTCATCTCATTCGTCCTCGAAGTCGACCACTCCTTCCATCCTGAGACAGCCTCCACTCTTGGCTTCTAGAACACGACACTCTCTTGGTTTGCCTCATCACGTCTTCTTGTTTTCTTTGCTGGCTCTTCCTCCTCTATCTCACCCTGCATGCTGGAGGTCCGCTGGGCCAGGCCCTGAGCCACCTTCTCTTCTCCATCTGTATTTTCTATCATTCCCATCATTTTTGAATAGCCTATATTCTGTACTAGCCAAATCCCTGTATCCAGCCTAAACCTTCCCTTTAAACTCCAGCCTCCTGTGTTTGGTGTTACTTTAGATCTTATTCTAATTCTTTACCACGGCCGTCCTACTGTGCCAATCTTTCTTCTTATCACTTTCCATCTGACTCCAGCCACAATGGTTTCCTTCCAATTTCTAAAAAATACAAAGATATTTCTAATCTCAGAGATTTCATCCTACTTCTCTCTACACCTAGAAGGCTCCTTCCTCTGCCCTGTTCTTCGCATGTGGACTCCTCATCCTGCAGATGACATTCTCCGACCACCTTATCTAAATTAAGTTGTTCTCTACCCTCACACCACACTTCCCAATTACTGTGCAGTAAAGAATCTTGTTTGTTTCCTTTATAGCACTTAACAGTTTATGAATATTTCATGTTTCCTATTTAATGATTTATTGTGTGTCTAGACCGTAAGCTCTGAGTACAGGAACCCCAGGATAGCTATGGCTCAACGTTCCATCCCGACTTTAGTAGCACTTATTTATAGAATGAACAAATGAATGAATACAGCTGTTGCAGACTAACACACTCACATGTATGGACTTGAGGCTGAACACCTAGCTTTTCCTTTTAGTAGAGCCTGTAACTGAAATACAAACAACAATATACTTGGGATACTCCCACGCTGCTTAGTACCAAAGACTTCAGCAGATGCAGCACTCAGACATCAACCACAGGAACTCCTTCCACAAAGCATTGCCAGAAAACTCCATAAATCAGCTGCTGAGATTAAATGCCAAAACTTTTCCATTTTCATTAGATTAAATACTTTATTTAGAAAAGAGTACAAATTTCCCCCAACTCCTTATACAGGCTATTACAAATATCATTTCAAGTTTTAGTGATTATTGAGGGTCACAATCACAACTATATTTTGCTACCTTTTTCTAGGATGAAGTTGTATGAAGCCTGTGTGGATCTAGGAACGTTTACCATTTAACTAGGTTTGGCAGACAGGTTTCATTGCATCTGCCAGCTCTGCACTCATAGTAACTGCTCCTAGGACTCAGTGTTAAGAAATTCAGGAGAAAGGGAGGGCACAAATCAGCAAGGTCTGCTATGGAAACAGCAGCGGGGAGCGTGGCCCAATGCTATAGATCTGCACATTAACCCCGCCCTAAAATGACACTCCAAGACTGCTGCAACTTCACATTTCACTGTGACTTTCTTTCTGTTACTTTGTTAGTTCTTTGCAAGATCAGTGCATCTGTCTCTAGCAACATTCTGGCTTGTAATCTGTGGCAGGCCAGGAAAGCAGATCAACTCACTGAAAACTGCATGAAATCTATTTCTGATGTGCGTTAATGTTGTGCAAGGCTCGTCTTCTGTGCAAAAATACTTGGGCTCCATGACAGGTGTTTTCATGTGTTCAGAGGCCTCTCATGACTCCTTCTGGGCTCATGACAGCGCTGGGTGGTGAAGATTCCTACAAGTCTGGTCATGACATAGCGTGGGGTTACTTTTTCTCAAAAGCTAAAAAAGGTTTGGTATATTTCAGAAGGCCTTACAAAAACAAACAAGCAGAGTGTGCACAGTGAATTATCAGAGGGTAATGAATCTGTGACAGGGAAACTTACTTTGCTGCTCTTTATTTCTTCCGACATTAAGTTTAATTCTTCTCTTAGCCTCTGTTTCTCCCCAGTAAATCCTTCTTTCAACTCTGTCCTTTCCCGGACCATCTCGTGCATTTCCCTCTGCAGCTCAGTTTCCTTCGCAGTCATTGTGTTTACCTGAAATTTAATCTTTGTTAGGATCTGCTTTGGGTTGTCTGTTTTGATCAAATTAATCACTCTGACATCACATATTTCGTGACACTCGCTTTAGTCTTCAACAACAAAATGGAACCCGGCTAATCTTCCCTTAACTAATAGTCTCAAAACCTACTGGAAAGCTTACCTTTTCTTCTCAGCAAAGATTTAATGAAAGCAAGAAGGAAAGGAGTGACAAAGAAAGATAAAATTACTAAGTCTTAAAGTCTCTCATTGAGATATTAATTTGAATTAAACTTAAACATCAGAGAATACTGAATGAGGCAGCGTCTTAGGTTTTTATCAGTTCTCGGGTCTCTACTAATCCTCCACTGCCATACTAATCTGCAAGAAACATGCTTGCGCTTAGTTAAAACCAACTAAAGCTCCATTGTATGAGTTCACCCCTGGAAGTTGAAAGAGCCTGGTACAGTTTTCCTAATCATCTCTACCATAACGCCATCTCTTGCAAGGTGTACAAAAATTTGAAATTCTTGGGAAATACAGTTATGGTGGGTTGCATTTTCTGGACTCTCCCTTTTTCTTTTAATATTTGTCCGGTAAAAATTTAATTTGAAGGAATCACTTTCCTAGCTCAGTAAGCAAGCACATAGAGGAAAAACTTAATTTTTCTTTAATCACTGAGCTTCTTGATGGCAGATTTGCCCTTTAATCATCAGCTAACAAAACAGGAGACTACACAAAGAGGTGTAAAAGAAGGGACTGAAACACAAGATTCCCAGCACACACCGTGGGAGCCATGAGGGTTTTGTTGGTTCTATCAATATCTTTGATAGTTTTTTGTCTTAAAGGCAGAGCAGGGGCCAAGGGCATCCCTCCTGATCCTAACTAGAATCTGTTATAATCTCTACAGCAGTGGTTCTCAACTGAGTATGGGTACGGAGGCTACTATTCTGAAAGGGAAATGTAATTAGAACCAGGAACTGTGCATAACCCAAAGCTTCTCCCATGTCCAGGTGCCACACAGAAACCCTGGGCCAATGCACCAAAGTATCTCAAGTAAATGTGAGCCAAAGCAGAGTCACTAGTGCTGGAGCCAACTCAACGTCCCTATAGTCCAAAGGTCTTTACAAAGTTAGATCCAATGCTGCAAACACTGTCTGAAGGAAATACAATTCACACGACAACATATTCAAACGTAAACAGATTAAGACACTTACTTGCTCAACAAAGGACATTTTTTCCATTTTTGCCAACTCAAGCTCTTTCTCCAAATCCTTGTAAGAATTCTGCAGCATGTCTAGGGTGTCCTGCAAAGTGTCATTTTTGGACTGCAACCCTTGGATCTTCTGCTCCAATTCCACCACCAGATTCCCCAGTTCTATTTTCTGGTTCTTGCAAAGCTGCTGCTCTCCTTCCACCTGGGACAGTTTAGAGAGGAGCTGCTCTTGGTCTTGGAGTTGATTTTTTAGTATACTGATTTCTTCATCCTTTTTCTCTAGTTTCTGTTTGCCACCTTCCACTTCTTGAACGAGGCCATTCACAGAAGATTGCAAAATAATGTAATTACTTTTGGCCTCGTCAAGGCCTTGTAGCAACTGAGACCTCTCGTGTTCCAGAGAATCTACTTGACTACTCAAATTCTGCTCCTTGGCCTTAAAGATCTCTTGGTCGTTACACAAAGCTGCCACTTTCTCATTCAGCTCTTTTAATTGTGTCTGAAGCATCTCCACTGCAATTTTAGATTCTTCTTTCATCTCTACCTTTTCTTGCTCTTTTTCTTGCAACAGATTTTCAAATGAACAATTTAATACTTCTAATTCTGATACTCGCCCTTGCTCTTTTTGTAATTCTTTCGTCAGATTTTCTTTCTCCGACCTTATATTGCCAAGATCTAATTCCAAATCTCTCAGACTTTGAGCCATCTCCTCTATTTTCACTTTCAGGGTCACGACCTCTGCTTTGGAGTTCTCAGCCTCAAGACGCACACGCTCTTGTTTCTCTTTTGAGATCTCTAGTTCTCTTTCAAGGTTCTCCACTCTATCCTTAAGCAAATCCACGTGATGCCGACTTTCCTTCAGTTCTCCTAAGGTATGGAGCTGCTTCTTTTCATCAGCTTCCAGAAGGACTTTCACCTTTTCGATGCTAGTTCTCAGCTGCTGCACTCCCAGCGCTGCTGAGTCCGGACTTGGTTCTTTGGCCTTCCAGGTCTCTTGGTCATCACACAAGGCTGCCACTTCCTCATTTAGCTCTTTCAATTCTGTCTGCAGCATCTCCACTGCGGCTTTAGATTGTTCTTTCATCTGTATTTTTTCTTGCTCCTTTTCCTCCAATAGATTTTTAAATGAAGAGACTAACGTGTCTAATTCAGACACTTGACCTTGTTTCTCTTGGAGTTCTTTCATCAGATTTTCTTTTTCAGACCTTACCGTGGTAAGGTCTCCTTCCAAAACTTTCAGGCTTTCAGTCATCAATTCTATTTGGGTTTTTAGGGTCTCCGCCTCTGCTCTGCAATTCTCAGCATCAAGAATCACCAGCTCTTGGTTTTCTTCTGACATCTGCAATTCCCTTTCAAGGTTCTCAACTTTATCCTGAAGCGAATCATTCTTACGCTCGCTTTCCTTCAGCTTCTCTAAGGCGTGGAGCTGCTTCTTTTCATCAGCCTCGATGCGGACCCTCAGTTTCTCGATGCCTTTCCTCAGCTGATGCACCTCCTCTTGCGTTGAGCTCAGCCTCACTGCGACCTCACCTTTCTCCATCAGTGCGGCCTCCAAGGCCTTGGCGACATCCAGCTTTTCATGTTCCAATTCATTCAGTTTGGTCTGCAGGCTTTCGGATTCTTTTACGAGTGATTCTTTCTCTTCACTCAGTTGTCCGATTTGGTTTTCCAGCTCACTTTTTACCAGAGACAGTGTCTGTGAGTCCTTTTCCAAGCTCTGCAGCTGCTCCTGGAGATGACCTTTATCTTCTAACAGCTCACTTACCTCAGAGGACAAAGTCTGAAGGAGCTGTGTTTTCTCCCTTACCTCAGCCCCCACCACGTCAAGGTGCTGCAGACACTCACCTTGACGAGATTCGAGCTCTAGTACTTTCTCCTTCATCTTTTCAGACGCCTGGTCCAGTTCTTTATTTTCTTTTGACAAAGTATCTAATTCTCCATGAAGCCGGTTTCTCTCACTTGTGACCACAGAGAGTTCTTCCTCAAGACAGGTGATAACGTTCTGCTTATTTTCATTGTCTTTTTCTAAATACAGCTTCTCCGTTTGAACTCTCTCTAAGTCAGCTTCCACAGAGAGGGCGTGGAGCTCAATGCTACTTTTCTCAGATTTGATCCTCTTCAGCTCATTTTCTGCATCAAAAAATCTCTCTCTCCAGTTGTTCACGTTGGCTACATTATCTTCAATAATTTCATGGGACGATTTCTCTGTGCCCACTTCTAAATTAGAACTGACGCCTTCCAAACTTTCTACTCTCTGGTGTAATTTCTGGTTATCACAAGAAAAGGATTCCAATTTTTCACTTAAATCTGATTTTTCTTTCTTAAGTTCCTCAACTGTTTTTTCCAATTCTAGGCATGTTTCAACCTTGGTAGTTAGTTGGACTTTCTGTAAATCGAGTTTGGAGTCCAATTCTTTTAATTCATTTAGCAAGCTTTCAACCTTCTTGTCACGTTCCTCTATGACATGAAGTAATCTCAAATTCTCATCTGATGTCTCTTTTACCTGCAGCTGGAGATTCTGAATGGTTACCTGATTCTCCAGAACATCCATAGGGACTAAAGCATTAGGACCAGACGGTGGCAATTCAGAAACACATTCTGAACAGCCCAGGGTTTTATCCTCCACTGGGGTCTCGTGACTGGTGTCCGGAGACTGCTCCCTGGACCATTCTCCCGTAAGGTTGACTGCACCAGTCTCGGTTATTTTCTCCACCTCTAGGCTGAGGTCCTGCTGATCAGCTTTATCACCAATCTGATGAATGTCATCCTTTGGTGTTCTCGCTCTAGTTTCTGAAGTATTTTCTTCTGATTCTTTTATGTCACAGCTATCATTTCCATCCCGAATAACCTGTAGTTGTAATATATAACGAAAATGCATTTTATTTTTCAAGAAGAATAAAATTGAATAAATAGACTTAATTATTATTTTATATAAACTGGCTACTTTCTTCTGCTAAATACATCTCTTCAAATGGTATGCCTCCCGGCACATTCTCCTCTCTCCATTCAAATATTCAACAGAATTAAACAAACATCAGTAGGTGTCGTCTGGGATGAGGTCCTGGGTAAGGCATCTATCAAAAGGACAAACCCTTCAGATGAGTTATTTAGTCATCTAAATTGTGATGTATCTAAATTTCATATTTTTTTTCTTGCTAGGAATATTCTAGGTAGCCTAAATATAAAATTTCTCTTGGTGATTATCAAAAAAGAGGCTAACAAATTCCACACAAAATGCTCAACTTCCATCTTTACTACTTATGATATTCTTCAAAAAGAGAAGGCAGCAAGGCTTCCTGACCAGATTCCCAGCCCAAGGACTAATCAGAGATCCAGCACTGACAATCCACACTCCTGGATCAATCACATGTCTGGGCCTCACCTTCCTCTCGTCTGTAAAATGGGGATCTGGTGCTGTGACGACTACGGTTGCACCCTCCCCACCTGCCCCCCACCTTACAGAGGTGGACAGAGAGAGTCAGCGAGACTCGTCAACTGAGCAGCTGTATTAGCTTAACTGGTCGACTAGAAAGGACAAAGTTATAAGTAACCAAACAATTTCATATTCAATAAGGAAAGAAATGTCTCTTTAAATGACTGATACCAAATCATAGATTTGTATCAGAGCAAATTTGTTAGAAAATTACTCAATAATATGTAATAAACTCCTATATTTAGCATCATGACTGTAACTATAACATTAAAAATAGTCTGAAAAGAGCAGGAGAGGTTAAAATTCATATCATATTAGCCCTAACTTAATACTTAAATGTGCTTTATTAACTTACAAAGAGTAACAACCCATACACATCCTGAAGACTTTCTGACTCCCTAATATCACTTTCTCCAGAATTTAAAAACATCTTTAGTAATTTCCCACTTAATAGTGTTTAAATGTAATTACAATAAAAACATACCCCTCAAGCAAGGTTTACTCATTTTCCTAAAGTTCTGGTTTGTTTTCAAAAAACTTTGGTATATTTGGTTTTTATGTCCTGAATCCTAAAAATATTTTAATTTAGATTTAACGTAGATTTCAACTCAACAAACATTCATTGAGTGCCTACTAGGCATGTAATTAGAGAAACAGCACGTACAGCCCATGTTACTTACATCCTCTACGTCCGCGCCAAGCAAAGATCGAGAACTTAAGTCCAGACCTTGTAGCTGGAGTCGCGCTACTTCAAGCTCAAGTGACAGTTGTTCCGTCTGTTTCTTTTCTGCCGCCAACTTGGACTCCATCTCCATAGTCACGCTTGTCAGCTTCTGTTGCCACTGTTCATTTTCTGACAAATACTGTTCCCGAAGACAGTCAAGCTCTTTCCTTTCACAACTTAATAACTGTTCGAGCTCTTCAATTTCCTTATTTTTCATAATCCCTTGACTTTCCATTTTCTCTTCTAGCTTCTGGAGGGACTGCCGATACATCTGACAGAGGGTCTCCAGTTCTTCAATAGTCCTCGCTGGGGCAGGTGGGATGTCTGTCTTGGTCAGAACCTCCTCCTCCAGACTGCTGGAAGATGCCTCCTCTGCAGGAGATCGGTTTGCCGAAACATCCCCCTCTAAATTATTCAAAAGGGATGCTTCCCCTGTGTGTTCCAAAAGTTCTTTGTAAAAGGAGGATTCTCCCAGACTTGTAATACTAGAGCTGTCAGTCACACAAGAGAATGACAATGACAGAAAACGCCCCTCCCTAGGTCCCGGCATTTCCTCCTTCACCAAGTCACCTTGAGAGTTTCTCAGACTCGTTGACAAGACTGAATTTTCAGCCTTTAACATGTCAACATAGGACTGTAGCTGTGACATCTTAGCACTCATTTGACAGTGCTGGTCATGTAAAATTTTGTGTTCGCTTTGTAAAGAGGAGAATTTCTCCTGTAATTCAGCAAAGTGCATCTGAACCTCTTTGTTTGACAATGTCAAGGGCTCACAGAAATCACCGTCATCCAAAGGATTTACGGCCACAGACTTCTGCTCATTTTGCTGTTCACCAAATTCACCTTCTGGCATTTCTTTCACGAACTCACCTTGGAGAAGATCATTTTCATCGTTTAACATTTTAACTTCATTCACTAGTTTCTCTACCTCTCCTGCCATTTTACTAGTTGCTGTGATACATTCTGATCTTGAATCATTCAGCTCAGATATTAGTTCAAACTTTTCGACCCGCAGTACCTCACACAACTTCTCGAGCTCATTCAGTTTGTTCATGGCTGTTTGTAAAGAGCACTGCAGGTGTGCGTTGTCATTTTGACTCGTTGACAACTCGTGAAGCACCGAAATATACTGTTCTTCTGTATCTTTAAGGCCTCTAACTTCTTGAGACTGGGTTACCTGTTGCAAACTTCCAGTTTGTAATTCTCCTCTAATTGTCTGTAATTCACGCTGCAGGCACTCCTTTTCTTCCTCACTTTCCTGAAGTTTTAATTCCATATTTCTTATCTTAGCTTCTAATTGTGCCAATTGTGCCTTATAACTGTCTAGAGAAGTATCTTCCACTTCAAGATCCATCGGAAGTTGAAGATCACATCTATTTATCTCACTCTCTCTTTCTTTCACTGAGTCCCTAGCCGGTTCCAATTCCAGATTTTGATGCTCATGCTCAGTCTTCATTAACTTTATCAGGTGCTCATTCTCTTGTAATAAGGCATTAACTTCCTGTTGCATCTTGCTTTGTTCTTCCTTCAAAGTCACAATTTCTTGCTTTAAACCATCAGCCTCACTCTTGGAATTGTTTTGGATATCTGTAATCTCGGATCTCAGATCTTGCTGCACTGCCCCTAACTCTAGTATTAGATTCTGGTTTCTTTCTTCGGCTAAAGCTAATTTTGTTACAAATGCTTGGTGTTCCCTTGCAAATGCTTCCTTGAGCTGTTCCAACTCATTTTTCTTATTTTCACAAACACTAGTGCATTCATTTAGCAAGCTTTCTAATTTAGAGTTCTTTTCTTGAGCAGCTTTATATTTTTCATTAAGATCCTCAAATGCATTTCCTGTTTCTTCACATTTTTGTAGTAAAATAAGTCTTTCTTGCTGGTACTGATTAGCTAACTCTGAGATGCTTCTGTCTCTTTCATCTATGCAGTTTGAAAAACTCTCACTTTTTTGGAGTAGGTTGATCTTCTCTTGATTTAAGGCTGCATTAATCTCCTTGAGAGTCCCATTCTCCTGGGTCAGCTCTTCGATTTCCCTTTTATTTAGAGAAATGACGGAACTCATTTCCTTCTTCTCCGAGCTCAGAGTTTCAGACAAAAGTTGTAGCTCCTTCAGAGCTTCTTGAAGTAAATGGTTGCTCTTTTTCAATTCTTGAGTCTCTGCTTGCTCAGTTTCCAATTTTTCATTCAAAAGCTGCAACTCCCTTTCCTTGTCCTCCAGGGCAACTAAAGTTTCGGCAACAACATTCTGATGAACAGAAGTGTCTTCTTGTAACTTACTAATGCGTTGACTTGTTTCAGCCACAAAACTTTGATGCATCTGTTCTGCTTTGATGAGATTTTCTTCTATTTCTCCTCTGATTTGCACCAACTCTTCACACTGCTTTTGGAGATCTGAGTTCATCTGCTTTTGAGACTCTAATGAAAATTCAAGAGAAACGACTCTGTGTTGTAAGACGGATGAAGTTTTGGGACTTTGGTCCACTTTTAAAGGGCATTCGCTCCTTTCTGAAGGCACGCTTTCTTGTTCTCCAATTATATTCACAAAGGAGTTACTCATTGCAGACTGCTGTTCAAAAGCCAAAAGACTTCTGTGGTGAGCCTCATTTGTCACTAGAGAAGAATCTTTGGATTTTAGCTGATCTCTGAGGCTCTCACATTCAGCACGCAGGTCTTGGTAACGCTGGTCTTTGTCCATTATTTCACTTGACAGTAACTGAAGCTTGTGTTCTAGATCTTCCACTTGCCCAGTGAGCTGAGAAACTTTCAAACACATATTTTCCATTTCCTTCCTATGTTTCTGGTCTGAGAACTCAGCTTTCTGGTGTAGTTCTACATAAGCTTGCTTCTGTGTCTCTACCTCCACAGTCTTGCTGTCTATTGTGTTGCGAAGGTTTCTGATCTCAACGTTTAGGTTTTCTCTTTCCATCTCTAATGTTCTGACCCTCTCGTTGTATTCGTGACTTTTTATTTGTTGGGTCTTAAGACAAGTTTCCAAATGATTGACTTTACTCTGCAAGCTTTCCTTTTCTGATTTCATCTGACTTAAAAGTTGTTCATTTTCACTTTTACAACGAGAAAACAGAGTTTTCTCTTCTTTCAATTCCTCACATTCTTTCTTTTTTAACTCCAAAGCAGTCAATAAAGCTTCAGACTCTCTTTCGGTTTTGCTTAACTTATCGTTCAGTTGTTCAATGTGATGTTCCCTTTTCTTCAAAAGGTCTTGAGAACAATCTCGCTGCTTTTCCAGATCAGCCAAGGCAAGCTTCAGTTTTTCTAAAGTCAAGGAATTCTCTTGCTGATTTATTTTTTCTTGAAGATCTCTTAACATGGTTTCCTGAGAGGTAGTCTTAGCTATTAAAAAGAAATAAATTTTATTAAGTTGTCATGTTTTTAATAAATATTTATTCTACAAGAATTCTAAACTCTAAAATGGCTTTTCAAGCCCTATAAAAATTGGCATTAGGGGCTGGCCCCATGGCTGAGTGGTTAAGTTCATGCGGCCCCAGGGTTTTGCCAGTTCAGATCCTGGGTGTGGACACGGCACTATTCATCAAGCCATGCTGAGGCAGCATCCCACACACCACAATTAGGAGGACCCACAACTAAAAGAAAATATACAACTATGTACCGGAAAAATAAAATCTTTAAAAAAAAAAATTGGCATTATTACCTGGGTCCCTCCTGGAAAGCAGATCTATCTGATAATTATCTAATTATATAAAGACAATAAGAAGACAGTCCTTTTAAGGATGGTAATATATTTCTTCATCTTCTAAGTAGCTTACTCAAGTGTTGTTGTATAAAATACCAGTGGATTATTTTCCTAAGCACTTGAAGCTTTCCTTTCTTTTCTGTTTATGTATATGTGTATTTTTCCCCTTTTGAAATACTTATTCAAAGCGAGAACACTGTGACAAGAGCCGCACTGAAATGGAAATATCCTACTTCACTATGGAGGAATTCTGATTTCCCAGAAAAGTAAATAACTACTCCACCGTTTTAGCCAAAAATCCACAGGATCGGGCTTAAATAGAAAAGAGTAAGTGATGCTGTATACCAGTAGCTCTCAAGGCTTATATGTATTACAAAGGAACAACGTCACCCACAGCCCAGCCCCTCACAATAACGGGGGTATCTATGAATATGAGAATCACCTGTAAGATTTTTCAAACTCCATTACCACAGTGTTTTCTGCCTAATAACCCGCTTCAACCCACTGGCCCCTCCCTAGTTGAGAATAACCATAATTCTTTCACTCAACAGTGATGGGAAGGCTTCATATTCCTCAAGAATGTTGGGGGAAAACAAGTTGAGAATCTCAAAGGCAGATGATAAAGGTAGCACGTATTATAACCTCAGATGTTACAGTGGATGGAAAACAAGTCCTATTTTTAACCCGCTGAGAGTTGATGGCTCGTGGAGATGGCGCCACAAGGGCTAGCAATCCACTTTGCTTGTGAGGACCTCAAACGACGACACTGGTGACCAACACTGAAACATGCTCTAATCCTTCCTTTTCTGATAGTTTTCTTTCAAGAAAGCTGAAGACTGACATTTCTACTGACTGCCATGGAAAAACTGAAAGCTGCCTTGGGGAGATGAGAATTTACAAAAAGAAAACAGTCACAGAGAAGTGTGACACACATTCCACAGGTCAGGTCATAAGAAATCCTAGACATGCAAATACCTCAGGTGAGAAAAAATGTAAGTAAAAGACATATGGTCCATAGAAATAAACATGAAACTAACGGTGGATTCATCTGGCGTGTATAGCATAACTCTGCGGCTCTACAGAAAGTAAGGAAATAAAATCATTCAGTGAAGTAAGTCATCAAAAAACAACGGTCATTAAGGGCTGAGAAAACAAGTATTTAATATAGGGTTTTTTCCATTATCAGGGAAATGGTAATGAGTGGGGAGATGAGCTGTCTAGACATAACTAACACGCTTGAGACACAAAGAATAGCACTCTGGGGCAAGAGACAGCACTGATAATTTACTTCTGTGTGGAAAATATTTACCCTTCTGTTGTGCTGAAAAGCCAGGCAATTTGGGACTCAACGTGTTCCAATATAAAAAATGGCCAACTATCACTGTGGAAACTAAAAAGTGGAAGAAGGAAAACTTTCTCCTTGCTAACTGCAGATATCTTTCTGGGAGAATATACGGAAAAATTCAGAGAAGTTTCTAATGCCATCCATCCTCCCTCAGGGGAACATGAGCTTAGAGATATAACCCTAAAACACAAAGCTTACTTACCCTTCATTTCTTCTGCCAAATTCTGGCTCTGACTCAAACACTGCTTGGCCTTCTTCAGTTCTTCCTCCAGATGGCACACTTCTCTGGCCCTTTGCTCAGACTGACTCTTGAGGAGGCTGTTTTCCTTCTTCATTTCCTGAAGGACACATTCAGTTGGTTATAATCAAAACAACACTCAAGCCAGTTATGACTTCTTCCTTCGGAAGGGTCCCTAAAGGAACTGTTAGTTTCTCTCTCTGTGGGAGAAATCACACTTTCCCTTTGAGCACTTAATGGAGTTAGACATTCTTACTTCAATCAAATGATTTATGAATAAAAGTCAAAAGAAAAACCACAAAGCACAAAACCCAAAACTGACGATAATCTTTTTCCTTTAAGAAACAGATTTCTTTGAACTTTCTGGATGTCTCTATGCTTGTTAAAGAGTTAGCTCATAAGGAAAAGCCTTAATACCTTCTCAGAGGTCTGTGGTGCTGAAGGACCAAAAAATCCACGTGACACATTTTTACTTGTCATTAAAACCATCTTAAGGTTCACTGCTATGGGGCTGTCTTTATGAGTAAAACGACCTTTAATAAATGTTTATGAAGAAAATATGCAATGTGCAAGCTGCTGGAATGGGCATTATAAAGATGCACATATAAATAAGACTGAGTCTCTGCCCTGAGGGCAGGTCCCCCAGTGGGGGAAGATGTTATACCAACCACTTAACACACATCAGGATGTGCTAAAATACAAAAAAGGTGGCGTATGCTACAGGAAAGCAAAGGGCTGGATCATGGAAGAAAGAATTAATTTTAGATGGGGAATTTGAGCTTCCACAACGAAAACAGGCTTTTTGGGTACCTGATGAAATGAAGAATCCATTCATCGATGTGCAACAAAGTGACAGAGACACACATGCACTTCCGTTCTATTACTAGGCAGACCTGGATATTTTTCTGAATCTTAAAACCAAGCAATATTTATATGCCAAATAGAAACGCTATTGCTTATTAACCAAATATGACTTGCATAATAAATTTTATAAATCCTCTATCCATATTCCTCAACCTGTGTTTCAACCTTCGACGATTTTATAGCTGATAAATATCTCAGCCTATATTCTATGCCACCGTGTGGACCACGGGGAATTGGCACATAGCGCTACAAACTGACAGAACCAAGCACCTCACATCCTGGGGGGACAAAAAATTCATAGAGCTAACTTATTATAAAACCGCATTCCAAAAATACCCCTCTGAGAAGCAGAGGAAAATTTTGAATCTTAAAGAAACAATTAAGACCCATCCTCCAAAACCCTACTGCACCGTTAGAAAACAGATGGCCCTGGCAACGCTGTGCTGGAAGGCTGCCTTCAATTATCAGTCTGGTTACTACCAGCAGATGGGTACTGATGCAGCTAAGCCAAATTCAAGAAGAGGGAGAATCTGGCTAGTAGAAAGTACTTGAAAACTTGCTGGCAGCTGCTGTACTCATGTATGTAGGTTCATTTCACCATCAAAATAAGACAGAGTCTGTTGCAGTTCCACTCCCATCTCCTTTGTCCTAATCCTGCCTCCCTTCCATGAGCTCAACCCACACTCTACCAAATTAAGAGATGGATCAGGACTAAAGGGCAGCTCCAACTGACCTCAAGACTGAGAGGCCAATGTTTGTACCAGTCAGTGTTAAATTCTGCAAAGAATGATCATGAAGGTGCAACGATGTTATTGACTTAAACTAGCATCATTAAACTACAGAAACTATAATTGCTTGTTTGCTCTTCAGGCTCAGAATAATCACCACTCAAATGAGACCACAGATGTGAAAGGAAAAATACCTTAAAGCATTTTAACAAGGGTAATGGAGCATTATTATTAGTATTCCTTCCCAAAATTTAACAGCAGCCATTGCCATGTGATCAATGCTAAGAACAGCTGAATGAGTCCAAGGTAAGAGCATCGCTAGAATTTAACCACCTGGGTTGACTTAGCATTGTTATTTTGCAACTTATAAAATATTTTCTTACTCTAAAAAGTTAATCAAATGGCATCTACATCTAGAGGTGTGACAAGAAGTTTGAGAAGACACTGTGTGCAAAGCTGGGTACAACCCAATAGGAGGAAGGAAGGTAAAAAGAAGGAGAAAAGGTGGGGGGGGGGAGCCAGGCAGGGAGGGGGCAACGTATGTTTATGTATCTGGTGGTCTCTATCTATCTTTGTCCATATTGAGAGACGTTTAAATGAATAGTGCGCTCATTGGCAAGATTAACATGTCTTTCTCTACATTGGCATTAGCTCCGTAAATATTTGTTTCTAACGAAGAAATTTTCAGCCAATCCTGGGACCCAGCAGGCTTATAATGCTATGGCTATGACCAACCCAAGAATTTTAAAAGGCCAGAATTTAGAAAATGAGCATCTGAAAATGGAGCTGTAGGCTGCCATCCATCAGCAATTAGTTTTCTGCAAGGCTACAGCCACTTAAGACTTGACTGGGTAGTTCATTATCAACAATGAGTTAAGCATACAAGGATCTATTCTCCTAGGCATCTCTTGCATCCTCCCAGGGTGTGCAGAGTTGGGCACTAGTCTGGAAAAACACAACAAAAATCCCCGTAACCACAAGCCAGCGTGAGAGCTTAAGCAAGCAATTCCACCAAGATCAACTTCGGTTTAGCAGTAGCAGGGGAAGCACCATTTCCCAGGGCCAGACAAAACACATTTCAGCTACAGTGTGGCACTTCTTGATCCCATCCATGAATGAAGCTTAATACGTCCCCTGCTGGGGCTAAGTCTATACCGTGAACAAAGGATGGATGCAAAGGATGTGTTTCTCGCCTTCCACTGCATCATTCTTCCCTGCCAGCCAAAGCTCCTTAGAGGACCTGGTGTAATATAGATCCCCACGCTTGAGAAGGTCCCCAAGCAAGCATTCCCTCATCTTGGCTGTCAAATGATGCTCTATTACTGCTAACCACAATGACATGGGCAGCCACTGGATGCTGGACGAGCAGCTTCTCTAAACCCTCCATTCACTTTGACACTAAATGTTAACTGTACCCTTGGTTGGGCCATTAAATCACGTTTCCACTACCGACGGTTTCTCATTGTGAGCAGCATATTAGTTTGCTAAACACGGACAAGTAAAATTTCAGTACAACTGTCACATTATTTCGGCATCCAAAACCTATAAGCACGCTAAACTTGCTTGTACTTACTTATAACTAGATACAGAAAGATACGCAGAGTGAAAGAATAGTAGAACAGGCACAATTTTAAATGAGAAACATCTCAAATGCACTGCCCCTGCTCAGGACTTTCTGTGACTTTGGGTGACAGCACACAAGGTCACAACAGTTGTGAAGATGAAAGGAATGAGCAGGTGGACTGCAATAATTTACTGAGCATTTGTGTGCTGAGCACTGGTCTAAGCCTTTTACCTACAAAATTTAATTTAATCCTTAATACAGCTTTGAAAAGGGAGGGGTATTATTAGTCCCTATAGGCAAATAAGGAAAGTCAGAATCAGAAAGGGTAAGTCATTGTCCCAAGGTCACACAGCAGGTAGGTGGCAGAAAAGCAATGCAATTTCAGATCTCACTCACTAAAGCCACCAACATTTTACCACTAAGTTATACCACTCTCTAACTGGGTAAAGCACTCTTCTGACCCCAATCCCAATTCAAAATGCAAGAGTCAGCCAAATCCTTTGAATTCTTGATATCATCCTCAAAAGAAGACACACGCACATGCACACACACACACATAAATTAAGACAAATACTAAATGAATTCCCTGGCCCTGTGCTAGGCACTTCCACATGACCGCCCTCATTGGACGCAGCAATCAATGAAATATAAATGCAACACGATAGGCATTTAACTCGGTCCAGGCTGGAGTTCATCGTGGACAGCTCTACAGCTGACAAACCAGACCCTGCGGGGATGCACAAGTCTTCAGAAACACCTGCAAGGCAACGTCCAGCCCACTGCTGCGCCTTGGCCAAGCAAGCAGCTTCACAAGCGTTTGGACCCTCTTAACCAGACGATTGCTTTTACAAAATGTTTCCACCAAGCAGCCAGTGGAGTCGCGGGAGAGCTCCTGGCTGAAAGGGAAGCTCACAGAGGGAAGAGTTCGGTGCCAGTCTGCCTGTGGAAATGTGAGCAGAAGCATCTGTTGGTTGGTCCCCACTGGCCAAAAGGCAAACATTTGTTTTGCTGAAACAAACACTTCCATTTGAAAACGTTCGCTGATGAAACCATCATCTGATATGAAGTTTTCTTGCAGTTGGGTTCCTGGAGCTGTGGCCTGCTGTCTCCAGCAGGATTACCCTCTGAGGCTGGATGCTTTCACAAGAGTCTGCTACCGACAGCTGCTCTGATCTTACAATCACGCTACATTCTTCAAAGCCATGGGGATAAGTCCATTTAGATTTTCCTCAACTGGATAAGTAACTGTTCTTTAGAGAGAATTTTTAAAAAAAGGAATCTCTACAGTCTAAAAAAGTGATTGCAAAATATTTAAAGAATAAGGGGAAAAGATTCTTTCCTGTGACAGCTGAAGGAAAAGAAACTTCTGTTCGCCTGTGCTTCTTTGTAAAATTACAACGCTGATTTATGGCTCTATTCGAATTGTTTCAGCCCATTAACCATCCCGAAATGGTTCTTAATTACGCCCTTTAAAATAAACACCAGGCTACTAAATAAATTCAGGGAGAAGCCAAATTAAAGTTAAGTATGGATAAAATCCTATCGGTAGAAGCAACATCAGGGTCCTCCTCATATCCATGCCATCAGGAATACCTCATCCACTATTCTGTATAAAAAGCATGAATCTCCAAAGACACAGTCAACCACGCTTGCACAGGCTCAACACTAAGGTTAGTGCTGACTTTTGAAGCCAGAGTAACATAATGTACAATAACTTCATGTTTTTATAAGAATTTTAAATGTAGAAACTCTTTGTCATTACTTTTATTCATTGAAATCTATTATTTTCCACAAGGTTTTTAATCTTTGATGACTCAGAAGTTAACCCCTGGAAAAGAGATTTACATTATATGTCCCATCGCCAATTTCTTTTTCTTTCCATTTGGAAAATCCTTCACTTTCTTCCATCCTTCCACCTCCCAGGTGGTCTAAAACAATCTTAAAAAAAAAAAGGAGTGCGTGTTCTTAATAGAAGTCAAGGTTTCCTATAATTGCTACATGCAAATTAGTAATTATAATGGAATAGAAAGCAAAAAAAGCACTTATGTTCTATGTTATAGGTTGTATAAAAAAATACTTTGTAATACTCACCTGTGGCAAATAAAAAAAAAAAAATTATGTAGGGTCATGAAAACCCACTGAAAAACGGTGTGGAAATTCTCTTTGACCCTTCCTCTTCGTTCTGCACAGAAACAGCTGCATTTGCGTCTCTGCCCCTCACTCACCTCACTGCTTCGCCTCAGCTCATTTTCCTTGATCTGACTCGCCTGAAACGCCTGCTCAGTTCTGCTGAACTTCTGCTTAAACTCTTCCAAATTTTTTTCTAGCTGGTGCTTCGCTGATGTGCCCTACAACGAGAAAACAAGGCAAAGTTTCATTTTTATGTTCTTTACTTTTTACATAGTCATTTACTCTTCAATAACAAAAAACAAATCATGGATTAAAAAAATTGATGCCATCGCTATTGGTTGAGACACAATATATAATTTTGGTCAAGACTGTTAAATACAGCACCATAAGTTTAACTTAAAATGCCATCATATCAACCTGTGACATCACTTAGCAACAGCATTTGAGAGACGAAAAAGGCTGGGTTTGGGGAGGAAGCCACGAAGGAAAAAAATTTAACCATGAAAAATAAAACAACTAAATAGTAAGAAACAACCCCCCAAAAAAAGTTGAGATAAGAAACAGACTAGGAGAACATACCATACAATAGAATAAAAATGAGACATCCATAACACAATAAGTAAAGCACTTCTATGATTTCATTTACAAAAAGACAAACCAATTTTTAAAAAGAGCAAAGGATAGAAACAGAAAATTTTATTTAAAAAATATGAATGATGGGGCCAGCCTTGTGGCCAAGTGATTAAAGTTCTGTGAGTTCCACTCTGGCAGCACAGGGTTCACCGATTCAGATCCCAGGTGCAAACCTACTCCACTCATCAGCCATGCTGTGGAGGCATCCCACATATAAAGCAGAGGATTGGCACAGATGTTAGCTCAGGGCTAACCTTCCTCAAGCAAAAAAAGGAGGTGGATTGGCAGTGGATGTTAGCTCAGGGCTAATCTTCCTCACAAAACAAAAAAGCACAAAAGCAAAAAAAATATGAACGGCAAAAAATTTCTGAAACAAATAACCTGAATGACAATCAAGGAAGTATGAATTAAAACAATGATAAGACGACATTTTTCACTCCTTTGTTGGCAAAACCAACCTGTCTGCTATTAGCAAGGATGGGAGGAAACGGACCTCTCTCACATCTGGTGGGAGAGTAAACCACATGTTTTTGGTGACAGTATGTAACAAATGATAGAACACATATGCCCCTGAAGCCATCAATTTCACATGGAGAAATTGGTCCACAGAAGGGCTCTCAGCACGCATACAGATACCTGCCCAGTGATATGACCAACGGTGTGACAGTGAACAAAAAATGCTGAGAAACTAAACATACATCAGCAGGGGGGTGATTAAATAGACCACAAAACATCCAATAACAACAAGGCTCAGACACTACAAACAGAATATTCCTCTTTAAACAAAAATCAAACCAAAAAACCCCAATTACATATTTATAAAAGTATTTTTATTTAAAGGGCTTGGAGGAAATCCATTAAACAGTTAATAATCTATCCTGGGAAAGGAGGATTTTTTTTCTTTTTACCAAACTTGGAAAGATGCAGAGAGAGCAGGATAACTCTGTAAGCACTCCTGACAGTCCATCCTGTATAATGGATGACGATAAGCGGTAGCTCTCCCAGTCCCAACTGCCATCCCCCACGCTCGGTTCCTCTACTCAGAGAGGCCGACATGCCCTACTGTTATATCTTGAATTTGAGAGTTAATATATTTTTCATAAAATAAGAGACTCTACCTAAATGGTAAACCCTTAGTTTTAGCAAATAAACAAAGAAGCAAACACTGAGAACATAGATGACACTGTGACAACAAGTGAATACCCGACATATTCGGGGTAAATTCAAAGCAGTGTCACCCTCTCAGGCAAAATGGGTCAAGTCAAGAAAAGCATGAACAATGGCACTGCATGTTCTGCCGTTTTAAAGCTGCGGATATGCAGGATTTATGTGCTATAGTCACAGCAGAGAACTAAACAGACGCAGCTCTGTCCTCGTGGAAAGATTTGAGTGATGGAAGACAATATAAAAATAAACAAATAACTGTCTCGTATGTCGGATGATACGCCCCGTGGAGAAAAATAAACCAAGGTAAACAGAAAGCAATGAGGGGGGACCTATGTAGTGACCCCAGGGAAGATGTCACTGGTAAGGTGACACCGGAGCAGAAAGCTCAAGAAAGTGAAGGCGTGAGCCCTGCTGTCTGGGGAAAGAGCATCCCCAAGAGCAAAGCCGAAGTTGTCAGGTGCTGGGTGTGCCCACCAGCGGCAAGAAGCCACGTGGCTACAATAGAGTCAGCAAGGGGCATGCGGGGAGATGAGGTCAGCGCATGAGGTGGTGGGAAGGCCACGGAGGGTCCTGCAGACCTTTGGAAGAACCTGGCTCTTACTCTGAGAGACGGGAGTAACTGCAGAGTTTTGAGTAGAGGAGTGACGTGATCTGACTCACACTGTGAAAGGCTCGCTCTGGCCGCGGGCTGAAAACAGACAGCGAGGAGGAAGTGGGGGGACCCCAGTGAGGAGGCTGGTACGGGGACCCAGGTGAGAGATGATGGCATCTTAGACCAGATACAGCACTAGAGTTGGTGAAAGCAGTCATATTCAGTACAAAACAGACAGACATAAGTCAGGTTGATTCTTAGCAGGGAGGTATGCAGCACAGTTTCTGGGTGGCTGACAAGATTCTATCCCCTGACATAGATAATGATTACGAGAGAGCATGCCTTATACCAATTTATCGTTAAACATTTGTTCTATATAGATTTTGTGTCTTAACACAAAAAAGTTCAGATATACTATACATATAATACACACACATATACTTATGCACACAAATATACACAGATATACACAAATACACAAACATGTAAATAAATAAAGGTAGAGTAGACAGTGTTTTAATGGATTACTTTGAGGTGTGAGAAAAAAATCAAAGTTGAAGACGACATGGAGGTTTTGGCCTGAGCATTGTGAAGAAGGGAATTGTTCTTTACTAGGATGAGGAAGACGAAGGGAGGAACAAGTTTGCAAACCACAGCTGGAGTTCCATTACTGACATGCTAAGTGTGAGATGCCTATGAGACACGCGAGTGGAAATATCAGGTACACACACACAAGTCTGAAGTTCGGGACAGAGATCCAGGCTGGAGATACAAACATGGGAGTCCTTGTCATGTAGATGACATGTAAAGCCATAAAACTGGATGAGATCATTTTTGGAATGAGTGTTAAATAAGTGAGCTGATTATAATTTTCAGTGCTTTGACTATTTAGGGGCATAAACTACTTGGGATAGCTCCCACCTGGTAACATGACCAAGAACCCCTGGAATACCAGAGCCCTCCAGAGACCTTCAGATCTGAGACCCTCACTTCCTCCTCCCTTCTGTAAATGAGAAAACCCAGACCCTGACAGGTTCAGTTTCTTCTCCTCTTTGATAAGCAAGGAAAGTGAGGATAGAGCATTTCTTCTTTAAAAGTATCATAATGTCAGTTGTGGTACAGAAATAACACATATAAGGAAAAAGGGGGGTTATTAAGGAGTGAGAAATAAGCTAGCACCCTACTTTATCCAGTTCAGCCTGTAGGATGTTGTGCATGTTCTTGGCTTGCTGTAACTCCTGTGTGAGCTTGGCTTTCATCTGAGTGCACTCCTGGTCCAGCGTGTGGAAGGAGCGCTGCTGACGGGAGAGCTCCTGAAAAGCAAAACACACACGCATCACACCGACGCTGGTTAAAAAGGGAGCTTCCAGGGTGAGGCACAAACATCGCCAGGGCGATGCTAGACTGAAAGAGCGGGAGACAACAGGGAGCCAGGCTGACCATCCACTTAGCGATAAACATAATCAGCCTGAGCTCTGGTCCCAGTAATCAAATCCAGGCCTCTGTGGGAAAGGGGAAGGAGGCAGCCAGTTGAACACATGCAAACTAGCCTGTTTCCGCCCCATCCTCAATCTTAAATTAATTATCTCTCTTTTGAAATATCCAGGGGCAAAAGAGAGTAGAGCTGAGCTGTAATAGTCACAACTCAGCCGAGAAATCAAATACACTCAGAAACGGGCTTTAAAATACCAAAGACCACATACCACTTACAATTTAGAATGGTAGGAAGTATAGGCCACCAACTAACTTTGATAACCACATAAGGATACTGGATTAATATTTCCAGTTTCTCTAACTAAAAGACTATAGACCTTCAATCTGTATGATACAATTTCAGACTAACTCACCAGAAACTGGTACCAATACGTGTAGAACAGCATCTTCAGCCCTAACTTGTCTGCCAACTTCTTTCCCCACCACATCAACTACATTTCCTATTTTCCAACCCACAGGCTCTAAAAACACCTATAGAATGTAATACAATTTCCTTCACAACAGAGAGTGTTTCAAAGAAATATGATCCTTTCCTTTGATGTTTGTGCCATGCAGTTGATTCCGACTCCTAGTGACCCTGTGTGCAGCAGAGTGGAACCCTGCCCGGTCTTTCTGCACCATCCTCTCATCTTCTGGTGCTCTATCAGATAATGCTCTGCTGCCATTCATAGGGTTTTCATGGCCAATTTTTTTAGAAATGGGTGGCCAAGTCCTTGCTCCTAGTTTGTCTTGGTCTGGAAGACTCCACTGAAACCTGTCCACCATGGGTGACCCTACTGGTATTTGAAATACTGGAGGCATAGCTTTCAGCATCACAGCAACACGCAGCCACCACAGTACAACCACCAATGGGTGGTGTGCTTCCCTGACAGGAAAACAAACTCGGGCTGCAGTGTGAGAGCACCGAACCTTTGCCACTAGACCACCAGGGCTGGCTATGATCTTTTCCTACTCAGTATTAAATCTCCAACAAATCAGAAAACATGGATAAAAAAGAACATGCTGACTACTAGCCCCTTCTCCAATCAAAAACAAAAAGATGGAAAGTGTGAAGGAAAATACAGTGACCTTTTCTTCACAAAGCACTTCCTCTCTAGAACAACCTAAAAGATGATCAACAGCTTCTCTTTTCAAATGATGAAACTATGAAATGCCCACAATACCCTTCCGGACAAACTCCTGAATCCATTTACCTTACCTCTTGAAATTCCTTTTCTTTTTCCCTTATTTTCTGTTCCAGAGAACGTTTGGCACTGTCTGCATTTTGTCGCTGACAACTCAAATCTTCAGTGAGTTTTTTCAGTTTTTGTTCCAATGCAGTACACTGACAACAAATAAAAATGTTCAATACAAAACAAAAACTATTCAAGGAAAGATGCAAATATTTTGAATTTTAGAAAAATTAGTCTCAAGATCTGGTTCGAGATTACCGTTGTTTTAATATTGTTATTTTGTAAAAAGTTGGGTTTAAAACTATTAGCCAAATACTAAAACTACCATAATTATTTTAGCACACATAAAATTTATATTTGGGAAACATTAGCAAGGGGGTAAAACATGAGACCATTTAAATAAATACTTCATAATTTGTGCTATGAAAAAAGAAATCACGTCTGAATAATTCATCTAACATTTTGTTGCTTGGAAATGAGAGGTTAAAACGCAGTGATGTTGACCCATATAATTTAGAGGCTGTGGAATAATCAGAGGGTACCCGATACCCTCAATGGACAGTCTGGTAGTCTGTTCCAAGCATAACAGACTTTGTGGGAAATTTTGAATATTAATTGAACAATGCTCCCACTGACGCCATTTTTAACATCTGGAGGTTCACAGTTCTCCAGATACATCAGAACTGTTTGTTTTTTAACCAAGCTGCCATAAGCAACACAAAGAACACTCTTTTGCCTTTTTACACAGCCAATTATCCTTAAACTAATTTTTAAAACATGAATTACATCAAAATTTAAGATGTTCTTCTAAAATTAAATTGGAACAAAACGGTCTTAAATCTTCAAGTCTTGAAACCCGTTCCTCTGACTCTTCCCCGTGGTGCTCAAATCCTTAAACTGCCCTACCCAACGACTGTAAAGTCCCAGGCAGGAATTAGAACACCTTATGTCGCTGAGGGAGAATTCCCTTGTCTAAAAGAAATGTGCCCCAATTTGGCAAATCTCTCTACTAATATATTACTCTGAGACTCATTATAGTCCCATTTAGAACTATCAGAAATATTAAAAATTTAACAGAGGATTCACAAGAAAAGAAAACACGATGTAACACTTTGCTACAAGACCAATCAGACACCATTAACTAACCCAAGATGGTCATCAAAGTCTGGTCTGATTTTGCAAATATCAGAACTATAAAAATACCACATTCAAAAAGTAAAATATTGAGTCAGTGGTTCAAATTAATCCACTGACTTGGACATTAAGGCACCTTTGTCATTATCCTTAATGTTCTTGAATTCTTTTTTTTTAAGGAAGATTAGCCCTGAGCGAACTGCTGCCAATCCTCCTCTTTTGTTCGCTGAGGAAGAATGGTGCTGAGCCATCATCCATGCCCATCTTCCTCTACTTCATATGTGGGACGCCTACCACAGCGTGGCTTTTGCCAAGCAGTGCCATGTCCACACCTGGTATCCGAACCGGCGAACCCCAGGCCACCAAGAAGCAGAACGTGTGAAGTTAATCGCTGCGCCACCGGGCCGGCCCCTATTCTTGAATTCTTAAATCCCCAACGAAAAGTGCTACACAAATTATTTACAACAGTAAATATGAATTCAACAAATATTTACTGAAAGCCTACTATACATCAAGCACTATTCTAGGCACTAGGGATACAGCAGGAAACAACTCAGACAAAAAAATCATTGCCCAAATAATAGTCCAAAATTTTGATGGTTAACAATTCTCAAGAAAGAAAACCAGGCATGGCAGGGTAGATGAATGAACCCTTGGCACCCTCTGCTGGCCATCCTTCAAACTGCAACACATTCCACTAAAGGATCCCAGGAATCAAACAGCAGGTTAAAAAAGACCCTTATGAGGTATTTACACTTTATTCAAATTTTTCAAAAACCACATTATGATACTGATGATGCAAAATCCATGTAAGAGTAGCTGACCACTAGGTGTCATGAATGCTCCATAGTCCTCTAAAACAGTGCCCAGAGCTGGTCCTTGAAAATATGTAGCATATGACCCTGGGCACTCACTTAGTGCTCTGGGCGTGGCTTTTTCACCCATAAAATGTGAGTGCTGAACTCCAGGTTTGCTGCCAGCCCCAACACTCTGTTTCTACATGGGTTGCAGCCTTGTATCCCACGCGGTTCATAAATACTTGGAAAAGAAGCATACTAGAAACAGCATTTGTTCACTAATGAACATGGTATTGATTTGAGTTAAATTAGGTCCATTTTATTTAATAGGTAATTCTAATGGTAGATCAGGGAACAGCATAAACAAAGCATAATCTGATTTCAGCAACACATTTGACAAAGTCATATTATCCTTAGAGGCAAGATGGAGAAGGTTGGACTGAATTTTCAGTTAGGTGGATTTGTAGTTCATTGAGAAAAATGCAATCCAGAAAGCAGTGAACAAATGAGTCCTAAGAACCTGGAGGAGGGGCCGGCCCAGTGGCACAGCAGTTAAGTTCACATGCTCCGCTTCAGCAGCCTAGGGTTCACTGGTTCAGATGTGGGCACAGACCTACCACTGCTTATCAAGCCATGCTGGTAGGCATCCCTCATACCCACATATAAAGTAGAGGGAGATGGGCATGGATGTGAGCTCAGGGCCAGTCTCCACCCCACCTCCCGGCCCTAAGAAAGGAACCTGGAGGAAGTCTCTAACAGAAATAAAGCTAGAGCTGTGTTCTCAGCACTGTCCTAGTCAAAAATCTTAAGTCATCATCTGATAAGGAGAGACCTCATCAAATATGTTAGACAGAACAAGGACTTGGTGATCTTGTCATACCAAACCTGACAAGACAAAATGATGAAAGATAAGTATAAATCTTATATACAGAAAGGCCTGACTTGGCAAAAATGCAACTGAAAATGAGCTTAACTGACAAGGAACTCAATATAATAAAAACAACTAATATTAATATAAGTTCACCATGTATACCAGGCACTATGCTAAAGCTTTTAGAAAAATTATCTCAGTCTTTACAACAATCCTATGACACAGGCATTACTAGCAGCATTTTATTGATCAGGCAACTGAGGCTCAGAAGTTAATTAAATTAATTCCAAAAGCAACAAAATGGTGATATGGCAGAGCCAGGGATCAAGTCCAAGTCTTTCTAACTTAAAAAACCAATTGACAAACTTAGACTGCATGAAGAGAATAAATACATGGATCACGGGAGGTCATGGTCCCATTACCTTCCACTGCACCTTCATACATCTAATCAATATTTACCAAAAATTTCTCCGTCCAAGCACTGAACTAGGAGAATATCTAAAAATGTACCTGGACTACCACTTCCAGGAAGATAGAATAGATGTGCATTTCCCTATTCCTCCCACCAAGAACAATGCAAAACCCTGGACATTATCTTAAAACACAGTTAGGAACACTCTGTAAGGAGAGAAAGCGTACTGACAAGGGACTTCAGGACTCGAGAGAAGAACACGATGGTACTGAAAGGGAAGAACCATCAATCCACAATCTTATACCCCAAGGAAATATTTTCCAGGAACAAAGAGGAAATCAAGAAATTCTTGGATAAAGGAAAACTAAGAGAATTTGCAGCAAGGTGACCTATCCTAAAAGAATGGTAAAGAAAATTCTTTAGGGGGCTGGCCCCGTGACTGAGGGGTTGAGTTCACATGCTCCACTGTGGTGGCCCAGGATTTCACCGGTTCGAATCCTGGGCGTGGACATGGCACTGCTCATCAGGCCACGTTGAGGCAGCATCCCACATGCCACAGCTAGAAGGACCTGCAACTAAGATATACAACTATGTACTGGGGGGATTTGGGGAGATAAAGCAGAAAAAAAAAAAGAAAAGAAAACTCTTTAACCCGAAAGGAAATGATGAAGAGAGGAAACTTGGAATGAATCAGGGAGGAAGGAAGACCAAAGTAAACAGCAATACTGATACATATTATAGGCTTTCCTTCTCCTCCTCATTTTTCTAAATTATGCTTGACAGTGGAACTGGTTTAATGTGGTTCTAAATGTACATAGAAAAAACACAAGAAAATTATATTATAAATGGGGGAGTTAAAAGAAGGAAAAGAGAAGTAAATTTCCTATAATTCATTAGAGCCAGTAAATACACCACCAACAGATTGTGATAAATAGTGTATATAAAATGTAACATCTAAAACAATCACTGTAAAAGTTCTACAAAGAAATATACTCAAGAACAGTATAGATAAATCTAAATGGAATTCTAAAAAATGTTCAACTAAGCCACAGGAAGAAAAGAAAAAAAGAAAAGAGAAATGAAAAAGAAAAAGAAATAGGAAACCAAAAATAAGATGGTAGACAAGCCAAGGCATATCAATAATTACATTAAATGTAAATGATCTAAATATGGTAATTAAAAGACAAATAGAAGAGTGAATCAAAAAATATGACCCAGGACAGCTATTTCAACAAAGGAACCAAGAACATACAATGGAGAAAGGAAAGTCCCTTCAATAAATGTTGCTGGGAAAACCAGATAGCCACATGCCAAACAATGAAAGTAGATCATTATCTTACACCGTACACAAAAACTAACTCAAAATGGATTAAAGATTGAATATAAGACCCGTAAAACTCCTGGAAGAAAACATATGCAGTATGCTCTTTGACATGGTCTTAGCAGTTATCTTTTTGAATATCATGTCCCCTGAGGCAAGGGAAACAAAAGAAAAAGCAAACAAATGGGACTACATCAAACTAAAAAGCTTCTGCATGGCAAAGGAAACCATCAACAAGACAAGAAGACAACTCACCACCCACCAACTTGGAGAAAATATTTGCAAATCATATACCCAGTAAGGGTTTAATATTCTAAAATACATAAAGAACTCATATAACTCAATAACAAAAAAATCAACAACCTGATCAAAAATGGGCAGATGACATGAACAGACATTTTTCCAAAGCAGATATACAGATAGCCAATAGGCATATGAAAAGATGTTCAACATCACTAATTACTAGAGAAATGCAAATCAAAACTACAGTGAGATATCACCCCACACCCATCAGAATGGCTACTATTAAAAAGACAAGAAAAAGCAAGTGTTGGAGAGGATGTGGAGAAAAGAGAACCATTATACACTGCTGGTGGGAATGCAACCTGGTAAAGCCCCCATGGAAAAACAGTATGGAGATGTCTCAAAAAATAAAAAATAGAAATATGGTATGATCCAGCTATTCCACTTCTGGGTATTTCTACAAAGAACATGAAACATTAATTTGAAAAGATATATGCACCCCTATGTTCACTGCAGCAATATTCACAATAGCCAAGACTTGGAAGCAACTCAAGGACCCATCAACAAATGAATGAATAAAGAAGATGTGGTATACATATACAATGGAACACTACTCAGCCATAAGAAATAGGAAATTGTGCCACTTGCAACAACCTGGATGGACCTTGAAGGTATTATGCTATGCGAAATAAGTCAGAGAAAGACAATCACTGTATGACTTCATCCATATATGGAAGATAAACAAACAAACATAGAGAACAGACTGGTGGTTATCAGAAGGGAGGAGGGTGGGGGAAGGGTGAAAGGGTAAAGGGGTACGTATATATGGTGCCAGATAGAAACTAGGCTTTTGGTGGTTGAACACGATGCAGTCTATACAGAAGCCAAAATATAATGATGTACTCCTGAAGTTTACATAATGTTATAAATCAATATGACCTCAATAATATAAATAAAATATAAAATGACTCAACTAGATGCTGTCTACACTTTAAATAAAGTAACATAGATAGGTTGAAGGCAAAAAGACAGAAAGAATACATCATGCAAATATTAATGAAGAATGCCTATAATACCATCAGGTAAAGTAGACTTCAGAATAAAAAAAATTACCAGGGACACTGAGGGACATTGTATAATGAACATGGTCCATCCACCAAAAAGACATATAAATTCTAAATGTATATGCACCAAACAACAGAGCTGCAAACTATGTGAAGCAAAAACTGGTAGAACTGAGAGGAGAAACAAATCAACAATTATGGGAGATTTCAGAATCCCTCCCAAAAATTGACAGAACAACTAGACAGAAAATCAGCAAGGATATAGAAGAATTCAACACCACCATAAACTAATAGGAGCTAAGGACATTTTTAGAACATTCTACTCAAAAACAGAATATACTTTTTTTTCAAGTGCCCATGAAACATATACCAAGATAGACTAGATTCCACACCATAAAACAAACCTCAACGAATTTAAAAGAATTAAAGTCATAGAGTATGTTCTCTGAACACAATGGAATCAAACTACAAATCATTAACAGAAAGATGAAAATCTCACAACACTTGGAAACTAAACAAGGTATTTCAAAATAATCCATGGGTCAAAAAGAAGTCTCAGAAAAAAAATTTTTAATTACACTGAACAAAATAAAAATGAAAATACAATATATCAAAATTTGTAGGACACAGTTAAAGCAGTACCAAGAGGGAAATTTATAGCATCAAATGACTACATTGGAAAAGAAGAAAAGTCTCACATCAATAATCTAAGCTACCCACCTCAGCAATGTAGAAAAAGAGCAAAATAAACCCAAAGTAAGCAGAAGGAATTAAGAAAGAGCAAAAATCAATGAATTTGAAAAGAGAATAATCAATGAACCAAAAAGCTGATTCTTTAGAAAGATCGATAAAAGACCAATTAAACTGAGAAATCTCTTCCAAGATTGGCAAAGAGAAAAAAAGAGAAGACGCAAATATCAGAAACAAACAGGGAGTCACCAGCTGATCTACAGACACCAAAAGAATGAGGGAATAGTACACACAACTCTACGCACATAAGCTTGACAATTTAGACGAAATGGACCATTTCCTCTAAAAATACAAACTATCCTAACTCACCCAATATGAAATAATTTTAATGGCTCTATAACTATTTTAAAGATTGAATTTGCAATTTTAAAACTCCCAAGAAAGAAATCTCCAGGCCCAGATGGTTTCATGGAGAATCCTACCAAATGTATAAAGAAGAAATAACATCAATTCTACACGATCTCTTCCAAAAAATAGAAGAGGAGGGGATGTTTCCCAATTCATTATATGAGGCTAGTATCACCTCTGATATAAATTACCAAAGACAGTACAAAAAAAAGAAAACAGCTGACCAATATCTCCCATGAACATAGATTCAAAATTCCTTAACAAATTGTTAGCAGATAAATAGATATAAATAAAAAGAAATAAATAAAAAGAACTATACACTACAACCAAGTAAAGCTTATTCCAAGGATGCAAGGCTCATTCAAATATTTGAAGAGCAATCAATGTAACTCACCATTTTAACAAGCTATTATTTCATACAATGACATATGAATCTATGATTATCTTAAAATAAAAAGATTAATTTTTTTAAAAAGACAGAAAGAACCTGCCCTCAGGAAGCAAATAGGAGACAAAGGTCTACCTACCACAGCTGTTTTTACCTACTGCCTTAAAAATATCTAGAGAGTTTATCAAAAGTTAATTTCTTAGGCCTACGTTAGACATAGGATTAATTTTGCAAGGTTCTCAGTGATTCTGACAATTAGCCAAGTGTGGGAACCACAGGCTAGAACACAAATAATGACAATAAAAGGGTCACAAGGGGGATGCCAGGAGAAAAGATCTCAGTGCATTAAGAGATGAGGGAAGGAGCTCACAGGATGAGGAACATGTCAAGAGTATTCCAAGAGGAGGGTGTGCCAAGCAGAAAGGCAAATGTGAGCAAAACACCAGGCCCAAAAAAGGTTAGGTTCAAGAAACACCAAATAATCATGGTTGGTCCTAGAAGATAATTCGTTTTTCTCTACAGTTGTCACCATATACCATACTATCCATGTTACTCATACACTTATGTCACATCCCCCATTAGGATGAAGTTCCACAAGGGCAATGATCTTTGTCTATTTTCTCACTGCTCCATCCCCAGGTCTAGAACAGTGCCTGACACATGGAAGGCAATCGATAAATATTTGTTGAATGAGTTGGCGAATGAATGAAGAGTAGAAAAAAGGGAAGAAAAGACTAGAGAAGTAGGTTGGGGCCAAAGCAATTACAACAACAACAATAACAACAAACAAAACACCCTCAAATAACAGGCTAAGAAGCTTGGCCTTAATTAGAGCCTTAAGATTAAATGGCAGAACATATACTGGATCCTATGAATAGATCGATTAAATTCCATCGTATGTCCTAAAACTTTTTTAAAGTTCCATTACTTCAAAGTGCCTCTTCTACGTGCCAGGCACCACACCAGGTGCTGTAGATACATAATCTTTATTCTTCACCACCCTCTGAGACATAAAAGAAACGAGTGATTTGCCCAAGTCACTCAGCTGGGAGAATGTGCAGTCAGGATTGGACCCCAGATCTACCCAACTCTAAAAGACTTTACTAGTTCAACTGCATCAGTATTACCTGGTATATATTAATAAGGTCCATTACTAACATTTATTTCAGAAACGTAAGTGGAAAGTACTCTTTCCAAAGAATTGCATGAAGAAATGGAAATTTTTTCCGATAACTCATGAAAAGTCAAGTACCTTGGTTGATGCCTGGTCATACTGTGCTGTTGTTCTCACTAGTTCATCTCTACTTTTATTCGAAACTTTCTCTTTTTCAATTAATTCCACTTTTGCTCTCTCAAGTTGGAGTTGGAGTTCTTGAAATTTATTCACTTGCCCTTTCATTTCTTTTTCTTGTCCTTGCAGACGTAGTTCCAACTCACTAATCTTGCTCCTTAGCTCTTAAATCACAAACAAAACCCAAATTCCAATGAATATATATTTTTCACAAATAATTTACAATTAAATTCAGAATGTATGATTTGTTACTCTGCACAAATATAAATCAATTCACCTTAAACACAGAAGCTACTTTAGTGGGATTGAATTTCAATGTTTAGTCTCTATTGTCTTTTGGATTCAAACATCCCACAGAAAGCAGAAGAAACAAATTTTCTTATGTTTTCGCAGAGAAACTTGGGGGAGAAAATGCTTTTCTAAAATTGTGAATAGAATCTCAGCAAAGCTGCAAAAAGCACATGACATTTAACACGCTTTGTTAAAACTACCACTTGGTTTTATACACTGGCAAAAAAATATTTGTTTTGTGCCCATATCAATGCAAATGAGCACTAGGCAGTGAAAAATTCACCCTCTCATATTCTCTGGTAGATTTATCTCCAGTAAAGATGAAGACAGTGTGAACTTCCTATATTGCCAAAATTAACAATAATTTTTTTTCATTTTTTTCCGCTCATACACACAATATGGGTTCCAACGGCACTGGCAGTATGACAGCTCTCACCAGTGAACAATGACGGTGATTTTCAATATATCATAGCAGTGGAAATTATCAGTCTGCAGAGTAGATTCCAAAACACCACCTGGTGCCCTTGGCTGTCAGCTGCAGTGCGGTACAGCAGCCAAACTTACAGGTTTGCTCTCATATGGACGACCTGGCAGGGCAGAGCAAAGCTGTTCGGCAAACCCATGCCACACCTCTGGCCAAAGCAGCCTAGGCCACATGATTGTTCCATGGGCCACAAAGGGAGCCTGATGAGAAGTGTGGGAAGTGTCAACTACAACCAACCTACTCGCCCTCCTTCGGAAAGACAAGTCAAAGCCACTCATCCTACTTTTGAAGGCTTCAGGACACCAGCTTTTCAGTACAAATAAAGGTACATTCCAAAATTGTGGTATCTTTACTTATTGTAGAAAAGACAGTATTTCACATCACCACACTGGGATGTTGCCCACCGATGTGTCTAACAAAACACATAAGCACTTCGTAGGACTAAAAATGTCTGGAATCACCTCTGAAATTATCTCAGGAAAATTTAATATAGAACTAAATTTAGCTCAAGAAGTTACCTTGATTCTGGGCTTTTAATTGATCCAAAAGATAGGAATTGCTAGAATCCTCACAGAAACTGCCATTAGCATCTCTTTTCCCCATTTTCAAAGTCGATCTACTTGGAGTCACCTCCCCAGAAAAGTGAGATGCAGAGAAATCTCTCCCAATCGGAGTTTTTTGAGCACTTGATGAAAGACGACTTGGGGTCTGTTCTTGTTGCCATGAGAACACGGACGATGAAGCCTGATGTCGGGCAATGTCTCGGTGATTCATAGTGCTTTGGGGAATAGCCTGGCTCACTTTCTGTAAAAATAGAAATCTTTAGAGCTCTTTAGAGTCTCAATATTCAAGGCTATTTATTTTCAGAGAGAACATAAAGCCATGATGCCAAGAAGTTAACTCTTCCACTGTGTACCAAGAAAGAATGTTCATCATGTCAAGGGAACCATTAAGTCCCAATACCCAGTGAGGAAATTTTCTGTCGGTCAGACTTCAGCATTGAAGGGTTAAAGCCAGTACCATTTGAGGCTCAATCTATTTTAAATGGGCGTTTTGCATTTATTCTGCATCCCTTAAATACTCCATTAAACACACGTGAGTATTCACCACCATTTTGAATTCTGATATTGATTTTCCTTTGCCATCTTTGGTCACCTCCCCCTGTGGCTTTGCACAAAGAGAACCAAAATTAAATATTAACCTAAAGAATTCTTTCAAGAATCTCACTTTCCACCATATCACTCCCCCCGAAAATGTCATATATGGTATTCTGTACTATATAATACACATTGTGTATTTTGTACTGCCTTGAATTATTCCTTTGGTTCTTCTCTCAGGCTCCATTCTGACAAATATCAAGACTTGGCTGTAGATGCTGCATTAAGCTTTTTACAGCAAGTGCTTTTCTTGCCACAGGGAGAGGTTTCATGTTTATGGAGATTCATATTCCTCCATAAATAACTCTGGGAATCAATGTCAGGGGCAGAATTGGTACCAATGACTGAAGTGGATAACAAAGCATATGCTATTTCTAGGACAAAGCAGAAAATTATTGTTTAATTTTTATTCATCTTGATAAGCAGTGTCTTGCTACATACCAGAATCCTGGTGACCTCAAGGGTTAATGTCATAAAAAAATTAAAAGTGTTAAAGTTCTAATAGATACTTATTGATCCTCAGTATTTAAGGTATCTACTTAAAAACTCAACCTTAAATTGTTTGCTGAAGGGTGCCATCTCCCCAAGTTCTTATATTTGGTGGAAATGCACCATTAAGTGCCAAACTGGGCTGTTATTTTTTTTTTCTAGCAAATAAGTTCATGAGAGCAGAAATGGTAAAGGTAAATTCTGTAGATACCAGATATTTTCAAGGTCAGTCCCTGAACTGTAAGCAAGGGTTTCTAACCCTTGCATTTTTATCTTGTCGACATTAAGCAAATCTCCTCACCCACCTCTCTCAGCTTATTTACCCACATCAAAATGGAGTTCAGAACACTTGTCAGCAACTCATTTAAAAGAATTGACAAGATTATGTTGATAACATTCTCCTCTGAAATAAACTTCATAAATAACGATCCTCAAACCCCATGTTCCTGGTAGCAATCACCACATTCTAACAAAAGAACCGAACAGGAAGCAGCTGCTTCCCGGTGACAAAGCCAGCAGTGAGTCAGGAATGACTCTTGGTCCTACCTTCTCCAAATATGCTACTTATCATTAGATCTTAATAGGGAAATAATTACATGGCTACTCTTCCCCTGGAATTTGATGAACATTTAAGATTTGGAGATAAGCTAATCTCCCAGCTCTATTTTACTCATCTCATCTATTTTTAAAACTAAGAAATTTCAACATACTTCCCTAACTATATACTCGATCATAAGGCCCGGAATGAACTTACTTTAGCCTGCAACGCTTTAACTTCTGCCTCTAATCTTTTTCGTTCTTCAACTTCTTTATTATATTTTTCTTTTAGATCCTCATACTTGGAACCTAAACACAGACAAGGAGTTGCAGTTTTATTTCGATCACTGATTTCATGAAGGAATTCACAGATCAATAATCATCACAATAGATAATCTAGAAATTAGTATCTTAGTATATCAAGTAAAAGAACATTTTGATTAGGGCAACAAATACTGATCAAATTACTCAAATATGAAAATACACAGAAACATAGGTGTTTTGAATATTCGAAAACTGAATTATTTTTAAAAACATCCCAGAGAAGGACAAAGATAAAAGTTTAAAGGTTTAACATGGCAGCTCAACAGAGTTCAACAAATACACAAATGGATATGTAACAAGCGGTTGCATTTTTTTTTTTTAATGCCCAGATTAGAAGTTGAATTCAAAGTTGAATTAATTCATTTCTTTGGCAGAATTTAAATCTCAATAAAAGCACTTTTTACACTGAGGGAAAAAAATCCTTACCGCTATAATAGTGACTTGGCGTCAATGGAGTTGCAAAAATTTTTTGTGGTGTATTGCACGGATTCAGAGAGACATCTGCAGACTGGGCAGTTTGTTGACTTCTTTCAAGTTCAGATTTACACCTGTTAGAAGAGGACCCAAGAGAATGCAAATCAGAGCAAAGGCTATAGGATACCTACACCATATGTTTCCAGAGTAATAAACTTACAAAGGAACCCCTCCTCTAAGAATTCTTACCACTTCATTTACCCAACAGACATTTAATAAGAACTAACTTGTATGATAGACATAAACTCAGTCCCCTGTCTTCAGAGGAACTCAGGCTAGTTAGGGAAACAGAAATATAAACCAAGAATTACAGTGTTATAAAGGCTATGATGAAGATCCATAATAACCGTTGTAGTAGTAAAGAGTAAGGAGGTTGGAGATATAATCCAGGCAAATTTTATATTCTAAGCCAAAGAAAGACAGAGAGATAAAAGAACTCAGAACTCAGGAACACAAGAGAAAACTGCTATCATTGAAGCTTGGGTTCAAATCGTGAGAATGGATGGCATTACGTATAATATTAGTTACCACAAAAACATAGACTTGACATACATACCATGTATTGTGTGACTTTTTTGAAACACAGATACAAAAATCAAGTTAATATAACACATCTCGAAAAGATATGGCTGGAAACAGTCACAAAGAAATGGGGAAAGTAAGCTATATATTATATTTATGTACAGAATATCCCTACCGTTTGTGCTCTGAACACCCTTCAGAATCAAACAACCTATTTTAAGAGGACTCAATTCTTCCAAGTCTCTAATATCTCTGATTTTAACTTAACACAAAAATAAAATGAACACCCTATTAGAATGCCTAATGACGTGCACCAGTCTTTTTGCCATCAATGCATTACTCAAAGCAGGGAATGAAGAAAGTGCCTTGGTGCCCTAGCTCCGCCAAGCTCCAAATTCAATCTGGGAAGAAAGAAGCACTGTGCGAGCTGAAAGTGACCACTCAGCAAATCAAATCATCACTTTTGAACTTACAGGAGGTAGCAGCACTGTCCAATACAAATATTCTATTAACATGAAAAAAGTAACAAGAAATAAGTGACTTTAATCTTAATATTTAACTTGATATTTTCAGAATACTATCTTTTCAACTTGTAATCAATACAAACATTATTAATGAGATATTTTACATTTCTTTGTGCTAAATCTTCAGAATTTGGTATGCACTGTGTATTTACAACACATCTCAATTGCACCAGCCACATTTCAAGTGCTGGGCAGCCAAATGCAGCCAGCGTCTCCCATATTGGACAGGGCAGGTCTACAGACTTACCAAAGGTCTCACAAGGTTGGTGATTCAAGAGAGGAATTTTGAAGAACCTTGCAAAATCACTGTTTTTTCCCCTCTCAAATTCACCTTACCCCTGTTTCCCTATTCTTTCATTTTAAAAATATAAAAGTTTATTTATCTTAAATACTAAATAAAAGTATACCCTGCTATTATAAACCTGTTGTTTTTCCTTTCTCTTAGGGAGAAAACCACCACCACCAGAAAAAGCACTAAATTAAGCTGTTTTCTACTAGGTTTAACTATATGAGATTGCCACCATGCTACAGTTTTGGCCATCATTTCAAATGGTTCAAACTAACTTGTTCAAGACATTCCTGAAACCTAATCAGTGGCCACTGACGGAGAAATAAGTTCCTGCACTGCACTTGAAGGTTACCAGTGAGAATTTGAAAACTATACTCGATAATGTTGTAGTTTATAGTTTTTATACTATAGAAAACTATACTCAACAGTTTTTATAATCTAAAGTTTACAGTTTACAAACTTTCTTAAACATCTAAATGGAGAGATAAGAATATTTTTAAACTAAATGTGCTATGGGGGTATCCTAACCCCATGATATGACAATGACAGCTAATAACAACTGATAACAATGCTACCATTTTACAGTTGCTACATGTCATGTACAATCCTGAGCACTTTATATTTGCAAGTATTGCTACCAAATGGCATTGTGCAATGAAATATAGAAATGTATACAAAAGTCTTTGTTCCTAAAATGTTAAAAATACAAACATTTCCATCTAAATTGTTAAAACCACTATTTCTAAAACCAACAGCAAAAATGTGCTTTCCAAAGAAATAATTATTCCAACATACTGAGGTGAGCTTCCCACTTCCCTAGCACCTCCTATCCAAAACAAATGCCTATCGTTCATTCATTTATTCAACAAATATTTGAGGGCCTGCAGTTGCCAAGTGCAATGGACAAAGTGATGAACAAGACAGACAAGGTCTCTGTTCTCATGGAGTTAGAGATGACAGACAACAAACAAGAAAACAAAAAACTCAATGAGATCGAAGTTTATTTATCATTCATACACACAACTTATAGACACCACCTTCCTATAGGGATAGGAAACAAAATTAGAAAAAGATTTCTGTGCAGGTGAATGATCTTCACAGAAAGAAAAATAAAAGTGATTTTAAAATGTTTTAACTTTCAGAAATATGTTTGATATGTAGGTAGAATTAAGATTACTATAGCTATGCCAGGAAAAAAAGTTTCTTGGTATCAAGATATGTATTAATTACAAAAGGAAAAATAGTGATTTTACAGTGGAGAAACACAGACAACACCTTAACCAAGTGATCAAGTTAAAAGTCATAGTACATCACGTACCCTCTGATTTGATGCACTGAGAAAGACACATCACTACTTCTGCAGTACTCTTACCAAAAATTTATAACCTCAGTCTGACCCAGTGGTTCTCAATCCAGGATGATTTTGCCATCCCAAAGGATATTTGGCAATGCCTGGAGACATTTTTGATTGTCAAAACTTGGAAATGGAGTAGATGCTACTGGCATCTAGTGGATAGAGGCCAGGCGTGCTGTTAAGTATCCTACAATGCACAGGGCTGCCTTCCACGAGGAATAATCTAGTCCAAAATGTCAACTGGGACACTGCTGGAAAACTCTGATCTAATCAGTGAGAAAACAGCAGGCAAACCCAAATTGAGGACTATTCTACAAAAGAGCTGACGAATACTCTTCCAAAATGTAAAGGTCACAAGAAGACAAGAAACTGTCACAGCTTAGAAAAAGACTAAGAAAACATCAACAAATGCAAGGCGGAATCCTAGATCAGTTCCTGGAACAGAAAAAGGACATTCCTGAAAAAACTACTGAAATCCTAACAGTCCACAGTTTACTTAATAGTATTGAATCAATGTTTATTTCTGGCCTCATTGTATTTTGGTTATATAAGATGTTAACAAGCGTTTCTGTAAGCCTAAAGTTCTTTCAATATAATTTTTTATTATAATTTCTGGGTGTGCATTTGCCAAACCAACAAGGGGGCAAACTGCTGAAGTCTTTTGGCTTTTAGCCTTTATCACTCCTTGTTATTTTGACAAAATTCGATTATTAGAACAAGAAGGTACCACTTATAAGCTAGCAGTGATTAGGTCCCACTAACTTTATTTTGATTAATGCCTCTTGTTGTTTGGGGGATTTTTTTTTTTAATGTAAGAGTAGTAATAAGCACCGTTTTATTGCTTAAATATGGCATTGAAACTGGCAAACTGATTATGTAATGCTTACGATGGGGATCTTCGAAGGAACTTCTTCTTGACTTCACTTCCTTCCCTTTCCAATTAGATTCCACAGCACATGACTTTAACCACTCTCTTCCCAATATCCTTGATTATTCCATTGTCTTCTACCCCATTACCCTGGCCAAGAACAACCAGAAATCCATCCTCCTGTTTACCTTCTCAGCACTTACATCCCAGATGCTAAAGAAAAAAAAAAAAAAGACATACAACTCTACAGATTGGTCCCACTATAATTTCTGGTCTCCAACCTCAATTAGGCCCTCAGTGCTTCTCAGTCCTTTTGTAATTCCCTACTTCTCATTCTCTACAACAGCTTTTCCACTCAGAGAAAACATAAGCCATCAGTATAAGCCATGCCTTAACTTCCCTCCATCTTTTCAGTAACCACTGTTGCTAGTTTTTGTATTATTTATTATAGTATCACCCAGTAATAATCACAGTGTCTGGCACATAAAGCAGCTTAATAAACATATGCTGCATGAATAAATAAGCAAACAACCATTTAATGAATTTATATAGTACTAAGCCTTGCAATGATAGGACTGAAGTATAAAAGAAAAGAATTAATTTTCCTCAAATCATTATTTATTCCACTGGAAAAAATATATTGCAATGTATAATAATTACATCCTTAAAGGAAAAGATAAATGCATCTGATGAATCCATACAAAGACATCAATGTATATATATCATTCAAAAAAAATTACCTTTTAAGTTCCTGTTCCAGTTTTTCTATTTGTTTCTTGCTTGAATTCAGTTGTCCTTCTTGGAAATTCACTTGCGACTCCTTGACCTGAAGATCATGGGCAATCTTCTGCTTGGTCTTCTCCAGATTTTCACATATTTCCATCAAGCTTTGGTTCTCCCTTTTCAGGTTCGTGCCCTCAGTTTTTTCATTCTCCACCTAATGGGAATCGTTCAAAAGGAAATCGTTCTCTTACTCAGTGAATTCACCAGGGTATTATTTGTGAATCTGAGTTTAACAATGACAGCTAAGTTTCTGAGATACGGTTGTAATAATCCAGATGTCAATGCTTGATGAACACAGACATCTTAGATGACCTCACTTTGAAGCCTATAGACATGAAATGTCTACAAAGTCACGGATTACATCATCTTTGGCCAAAGCCACACATACTCATCCTAGAAAGGAGATTTAATATGCTTTCGAGTATTAAAAAATAAAAAATAAACCCTATAAATTTCCCTTAGCAATTCACTTTCAAGTTCGGCTGCTCAAGCTAATGACTCTAAGAAACTGGGAAACTCTCTCACTTGCAAAAACCTTTCAGAAGCAGTGACTGTATCACTGCTTTCTTGGCTAATACAGAGGAAAGAAAGGACTGGTGACGTTTTCATTTTGTAGTCCTAAAGAGACAAGTTCTGGGACTACGAGGGGGAAAAGCCCCCTCTCAGAAAGCGATATCCATTTGGACTGCAACGCACTTAAATACTGTCCCCAGATTCACAGCCAGAGACTTTTGGCCTTGCTGGTGCAGAACGCAAAAGCAGTTCCCAATTCCTGGTCCGAAACAGAAGTGAAAATGGAACCCAGCAGCCCTAAATATTTGCAGATAAGCAGAAATGAGGACAGAGGATGGAGAAAATGAGGCGATTAAAATAAAAATGACTCCAAAAAGGAGAGGAGGGAATTAACGCCTGACGATAGCAAAATCATTTTTCTCTAAACTTAAAGGACCAAGATGAAATCAATACCAGCATTACAATGATACCTTCTGTTTTTGCTTCTGCAACGCGGCCTCCAGAGTTTCAAGCTGAAACTGCCTCTGCTGCCTTTCCTTCTTCAGTTTGTCGAGCTGTCCTTCAAGCTCTTGAATTTTCTGAAGAGCTCTTGTAGGCAGGCCTTCTTTCCATTCTTCCAAAGCCCAGCTCATTTTGCTCTCCTTCCTTTATCACTCAAACATTTAGAAATTAACTGAAAAGAATAACCAGATTGTGGGTCTCAAGACAGTAAAGGAAACGTAATGTTCTAAGACTAATGAGTCTACACAAGCACCACTAAGAATCAAGTTTCAAAACTCCACATTTCAAAAGATAACACAGTACAACATCTATCTTCTCCATCCTCTGAAAGGCCCCTCCCCATAACTCTGATTGTAAAGTACATCACATGCTTCTTTAGCTTCCTCTTTCTTTCTCTCTTTCTCTCTTTCTTTTGAGGAAGATTGGCACTGAGCTAACATCTGTGCCAAACTTCCTCTATTTTATGTGGGATGCTGCCACACCACGGCTTGCCGAGAGATACTGGGTCCACACCCAGGATCCAAACCTGCAAACCCTGGGCCGCCAAAGCAGAGTGCACGAACCTAACCACTACGCCACCGGGCACCCCCTCCGATTTTATTTTTCATTTTTGACTTCTTATACGGCTACCTGCTTTCTACTGCTCACCTGATTTTCCTTACACAAAACATGAATATTTTGCTATAAGGTTTCAGATGAAATAGGTCCTGTTAACAAATAAAATGCACGACAAGTTATTTTGCAAATGCTCTTCTTTCCCTTCTTTACACTGTTAACTCCCACTCATACTTTGTCCCTCTTCCTCTGGGAAGCATTCCCTGAGGAGACCCATCCATAACCTGGTGGCATCTCCCGGTCACAGTCTCTCATGGCACAGGTCCACCCTCTCCTTCCAAGCAGTTATCAGTTGTTGAATTAATGCATGAATGAACAAAGAGTGAATGCCATATAGTAACAGAACCACTGCAAAATGCAGTGAAGTCATGCTCCAAACAGACCTTAGCAGGAAACAGGTATATAGTCTTAATGATTCAAATCCCAGCTTGGCCACCTACTAGACGTGTGACCTTGGGCATGTTATTTAACTGCTTTGTGCCTCGGTTTCCTCGTTTGTAAAATGGGGATAATAACGGTGTGACTTCCTAAAGTCTTAGAACAGCATCTCCTGATAAGCTTTCTGTACACGTTAGCTATTATGTTGGTCCTTGAAAACACTTTTTCATTTGTATATTTCAGTCTATGGTACCAACCCACAAGTGGCCTGCCTCCTTCTCAGCCACATCTTAGAAAATTTAAATCACCTGGGAGAAAAGTATGGCAATTCTTCTTTACTTATTAGCCTTTAGAACTTAAAGAAAAAAGCATTCATTTCCCAGTTATTTTGGCAACAGAGTAAGGATTCTTTTTTTACTAAATGAAGTCCACAACCATTTTAGTGTTTTGTTTCAATTGACTTTGAATTTCAACGAAATTTTTATCAGAACAACTAATAAGTAGTTGATGAAAGTACTAAGAATGATAAAAAGATTTTCAAAAATTAAGAGAGAAGCAAAGATCTCAGAAAACGCATAATGTAGATATCAAGCCTAGGAAAGCTGTGTTTTCTCTGCTAGTTGAATTCTTTTTTCCAGGTCTCAGCTCTTTGAACACAGCATCTTAAACTCCACTCCCATTTGCCCCAAAACTCTTATGCCTGCCTCTCCACCAACAAAAGACAGTTTACAGGTCCCGATAGGCTACTCCTTCCATTCTGACCTAGCTTGCTCACTCAGGGGTGGGAGTACGCACCCTTGAGGCACACAACTATAACTGTCCTAAAGAATTCTGCTAGCCACTGAAAGCATTAGGTCAAGACGCCAGAGCCAACAAAATGTGACGTGTGACAGCCCCCCCCCCCAACCCCCAGCACTGAAGGCCCAGTTTTCACGCTTTTCCTTTATCGCAATCCCCCATTTCCACCAAGAAACCCGAGTCTCCGCCTACGGGGCGTGGGGGGTACCATGGTGAGCCTGAGAATACGCTGCCTGCTCCTCTAGATCAGACTCAAGAGATAGGAGTCAGGTCATTTATTTCTGGGTTCTCATAACTCAGCAGAACCAGGTACACAGGCATATCCAAATAAACGTGGAAGGCAGGAGAGAAATGCTCTCGCAACTAACAATAGGCACACCGACCCGCCGCCCAGATCAAAACCCAAGCTTGCGCCTCCTCCACGCAACAAAGGACTGATATCCACATTTCAAATAGGAGCCACTGGTTCCTGAACGTGGAAGGCTGCTAGGAAATACCTGCTGATCTCCAATCTTTGACCTTTCAGAGGAGGAAACTGATCCCCCAAAGTGCGAGGTGGTGACCGAGCAGAGTCTCTGGATACTACTGCGAGCACAGCTTGACCCGGAGCAGAGAGGGGCGCCGACACCCCCTAAGAAACTCACCGGGGTCGGATTCTCCAGGCCCGTCAGGAGCGAGGGGGCAGTCCGCTGCACCTTCGGGGCCGGGAGCGCGATCCCACAAGCATCCCCGCCCAGTATCCTAGGGGAGAAAGCCAGCAGCTCCCCTACGCACGCCGCCGGAGCCGGGACCTAGGCAGGATGCTCACCTTGCTGGCGGGGAAGGGAAAACAACCCCGCAGAGAGTCGGGTTCCGGTGCAGCCTCCGCAGGCTGGAGCGCAGATTCCGATTCAAACTGCCCGCGGCCGCCACCCGTTTTCGATTCGCCCGCTTCCGGTCTCGACGGAACTCCCCTCCAAGCCTATTGGGCGCCGCGAGCAGCTGTGAGCCAATCCGCTTCCGCGCACTCGGATTGCGGCCTTTGATTGGTCCTTTCGGATGGATTTAAAAATCAAGTTATCACCACCTGGCTGCCGGCGCCGGAGTTAGAGTTTTGTTGCTCTTGCAGGGGGGCGGAGACCACGTGCTGTTGCTGAGGCTAGAAGATGTTTTGATCCGCTATTTCCGCAAAAGCCAGGGAGTGGGCCGGCTGATTAGGAGGGTGTGGTCTATCGCCTACAGCCAGCGGTGAGGCGCTGTCTGGTGAAAACTCTTAATGCTGCACGTCTATATCTACTTATTTATTAAATATTTAAATCAGGATAGAGATATTAGGTACTATGCTGCCATGCGTTCTTCATCCAGTGCCATTCTTAACAATTCTTTGACGGAAGTATTCTCATTTTATTTAAAAGTAAACTGAGGCACGTAGAAGCTAAGTACTTTGAAATTAAATCTAGAACATGCAGGATGTCACTAACAACTGTGCTCTAATGATCATGTTCTAAAGAGGAGACTCTGAACACTTGTTAGCTAGGATTCCAGGGGAGGACAATGTAGCCAGAAGAATCTTTAAACCTGGATGTAATCTCTCCTTTCTTTTTCGGAAGCCCACTATTATGGGGTGTATTGATGTACTTGTTTTATTTTCCTATCCAACTAAAAGTAAGCTTCTAAAGGCAAAAGCAAACAATGAACTGATGCTGTTGTCCTCCTCAGTAGATTCCAAACTTTTGGTATCCCTCTCTGTTCCTTTCATCAGACTGCTCCTGCAGCCTAGACTGCCTCCTATCTTTCACTGAAATTCTGCTCATCCTTCAGTACCCAATTCAAATGCCACTTTTGTTAAACCTCCCTATTCCCACCTACAATAATTATTTCTGATGCCTTTCCTAGAGCTTGGTTTATACTTCAGTTTTAGGATTTTTGCCTTATATTTATAAAATATAAATAAATATATATATATATATATATATGTGTGTGTGTGTCTATATTTGGCTCCCCCATCAGACTCAAATTGGTTTATACTTCACTTTTAGGATTTTTGCCTTATATTTATAAAATATAAATATATATATATGTCTATATGTCTATATGTGACTCCCCCATCAGATTCAAATTATTATTATTCTATAATAAACAATAAAGAAATACATTCACTTCTTGAACAAGGGGATTATGTGGTGAAGACTTCTAGCAACTTTTGTGATATTTATGTGACTTCAATTTTACAGTTCCCTTCCCGTGCCTCTATTTTTGCCCAGATTGTTTCTTTTTTTAGGGGAGAAAAGGGTGAACCCCATCCAACCAAATGTAGATCTCTTCTGAGGGGCCATTTTCAGCTTCCTCCCCTTCTCTTTGTAAAGCCACTCTCTCACTGAGCCAGTCCACTCTCTCTGGACAGTTCATCCGCCATTTCTACTTTCTGCCTATGAATCAGTGCTCTTGAGTCTATCTCTTCCTCTCCAGCTTAGACTGCAGGGCCCATCACTTAAACCATTCTTTTGCTGGTGTCCTCAGCTCTCTTGCCCCTGTTCTCTGCTTCCCCTAATCTGTATCCATGCAGCCTTCTATTTCCTCCCAAAGAGCACTGTTGCTGCAGAATAGGGCTAGAGAGAAATCCCAGGACTGTGCAGAGAGCCGCTGTAACTGTACGACCTCTAACTGGGGCCTTACTGCCCCTCCCCAGCCCTTTCGCCCAGTTCCACAATTTCTCTTAATCTTCTCCAACCATCGTCTTCCCGCTACCTCTCGGAAGGTGACCTCATCTCCCAGTTCACAGAAAATGTATGTCTGACGGGAACACCTTCAACTTCCAGCCACTCAAGTCTACAAATTTGGCACGATCTGTACCCATTCTTCCCTCCAGTTTTCCTGTTACAACCATAAGAAGCATGTTTGTGACTCTTTCTAAGCCCAAACAATCGTTCCGTGTTCTGGAGGCCCTTGCTTCTTAGGAACTTGGCTCTCCATTATGCACTTGCAAACAAGAATCTTTCACTTTCCTACTTTCCTGGGTCTTCCTCAAAGCACTTAAAGTGCTCAAGTCTTTCCCTTTAAAAAGAAATACTTTCTCAAACTACATTCCCTTACAGTGGTCATCATCTCTCTCATCACATTCCATTTTCTTTCTTTCTTTTTTTTGAGGACAATTAGCCCCAAGCTAACATCTGCTGCCAATCCTCCTCTTTTTGCTGAGGAAGACTGGCCTTGAACTAACATCCGTGCCCATCTTCCTCTACTTTATACGTGTGATGCCTGCTACAGCATAGCTCGACAAGCAGTGCGTAGGTCTGCACCAGGATCCGAACTGGCGAACCCCACACCGCGGAAGCAGAACGTGTGAACTTAACCGCTGCAC